TTATTTCTCTCACCTTAAAATTATTTGAAAAATATCTGGTGAAATATTTGGTAATTTAATTTGTACCAAAGTTCCATCATTCTTTTTTTTATTAGTTGATAAAATTCTACGTAAATAAGTAGAACGATAATTTAAAATTACCATATGAGCTCGGAATATTTTTACGTAAGGGTCATTACCAACTTCAATAGTAATATCACAATATTCATCATCATCTAAAATTTCAAGTAAATTTTGTGATAATTTTTGTAAAAATTCGTTGTCAGCCATTTTTTTTTTAAAAAAAAAATTTCAGTAAAAAAAGAAATGTATGGCTTTTATATAAACATGAATGTTACTCAAAGTTGATTATGTAACATTGACGCCGATTCGCGAAGTTGGCGCAGCGTTCATCGGTTTAAATTTGAATAATGGTGCTTACTGCTTAGTGCTTACTATTATTTTATCTATATATAACAGATAAGAGCGCATATCGATATGGCTTCATGGGTTGCGCGCAAAACTTTATAAATAACGTGCGACGCTTAATTTCTCAGTTAAAACATGATTTCCTGTACCACATATAATTTGTCACTCATTGTGCTCCAATCATTTTGTCACGTGACTCTATATAATAGCTTCACGAAAGAAATAAATTAAAATTGATTTTATTATTGCAATATTTCGAATATTAATTTATAATTCAACTATCTGTAATGCGACTATAATGCGATTATCAAACAAAAAAGATTAATTCTCAGTGCGACGGGGCATAATAATATGTATTAATATTTTTCTCTTAAAGTTTATAATGCATTTTAAACACATGTTTCACCTTTTTTATAATCAACATTTACAATCTATATATTGTAATTCATATGAAAAAAAAAAAAAACTCTCTCCCCTTTCCGTTTTTTTTGTTAAAAAACCGCAGTAATATACCTTTTTTTTCACAAATACTTATATTTTTTGTAAGGAGCGAGGACCACTCGGTGGCCTCTACGGAAAGGTCTCCTCTTATTACCCTTGACCTCTGAGAGATATGGATACAGAAGATATACCTGTTCCACTTCAGTCTGTTCATAACGACCAGACTATTTTACCTTTACCTTTTCCCTTAAAAACGTTTAATAATACGTCCAATACTCATGAAAATACTTTCCTTGTCTCTGTGAAAAAATTTCACGTGATGACAAAACACTGAACCGGTTATAACAAGATTTATGAATTTAGGCGCCCAAAAAGTTTCTTTTTTGAGCTTGCTGATCCTTTCTCGGACACCAATAATCTTCATTTGTTTTTACACACCAATGATTATCACATGGATTCTACGCCTATTCGATACACATCCACAAGCCATTTGCCTAACACAAAATATCAAATTAGTAAAATGCTCACACACTTTTTTACCTTACAAAAAGTTTTACCCTGACGTATTCAACAAAAGTATTTTGGATTGATTCGCCGGAAATTATTGGAACGAATTGACTTCATCAAGTCATGTGCATCTAAAAGAACTTTGAAGAACACCATTATACGCACTTTCTTCTCATTCTCTTATAAGCGCTATCGCTTCCATTTTGGCATTTACATTCCTTGCAAACACGCTTACTCATCTGGTTCGTTACACTTTCTCACCTGGTGTCATAGCCCGAGCCCTTTCGTTATGTCTTTAAATAGACGCACTTGTGGTACTCATCAATCTGAATTCTCGAGAAAAGAAATCAATCATCACCTGAAACCTGTGCCTAATTGGAACCCAGGATTTACAAATTCAAAATCTTCACATGCAAACTTTTTATACGACCTTTGGCAACATCGATGGAAAAATGAAATCTTTTCCAACCGTCTTGGCATTCAATACAATGTCTGTTTTGCAGCCAACAGTAGTAATTTCGTGCGAAAGCACCCAGGCGCCTACATTTATAGGAAACACCTTATGAATTTCAAATTCAACCCTAGCAGTAATCCCGCAACAAAACGCAAACAGGAAACCCGTTTCAAGAGACATTGTGCACGGGTGTTTAAAAACATCAACCCTACATCCCGCACTATGAAAGAGGATAAACTCGCAGCAGGGAGACGTTTTCGCTTCTTGTTTCATGAATCTCAACACATTTATTCACCTGTTCATCATCTGAAATTCAAACGTTCTTCAAAGGAGAAATTATTACCCGATCCTGATGATTATACATTTAATATACCTTACCATTCACTGGAAAATTCCAGTATTACGCCTACAGTTCGTTCACAACCTTTGACATCGTATAGGCCTTCTGGTGCCAACACAATCCCCACTATTTGGACGCACAAGAAATCGCGACTCTCGGTGATTTCTTACCACCACTCGGTAAACCCGCCCCTCTTTACTACGGTCATAATCCCGTAGACCCAACCAAGTTGAACAGTAGTTATTACTTACAATATAACCCTAATCAACCTGATTTACCTCCAAGTATTGAAATACGTATAGCTAACCGCTTAGATTTAGACTCATCTGACGCTAACGGTATGGGTACTACACTTAAACATTTTTATCGTCAAGCATTATCAACTCGACAAATCACGGTCTGGACTAAACAGTACCATAAATATATGAAACAACCTCCACCACCTCCAATGCCTTCCAAGAAGAAACAGAAGCACAAGTGGAAGAAATGGATGGAAAAGCATCAGGACTATGATGACTTTATGAGTAAACCGTACACTTATAAACCCTTTACTCCGGACAAATACCATACAGATCTCTTTGGTCTCGTTTCATACACATCAGACGAGACTAAAACGGTGGAATACCACCCTAATAAGAGGGATATTACGACCAATCCTTCTGTTCTGTCTACATCACATGACAATAAACGACCAAGACCAGCGAATAGTTACCTACCCGACTCCCTATTTACTAGTCTTAATTCTAATTAAATTAGTTTCTTTTTCTATATATGTATATTTTTCTTGTAATGAGTCTTATAACATTTTTCCTACTTTATACTTTACATTCTACATTTTGGCGTCTAATTTACCCTACGTCACCATGTATATATGTAAACATATCAAACAATTTAAAATAGTGTGAACCACTCCACTTATGACAGTATTGACAAGTGGCAGCCTTAGGGCTGAAAGCAAAATACGGATTTTATTAATGTTTCTTGTTTTTTTTTTCTTGGAATTTTGGTAAGATTGTTTTAAATTTAATTTTTTTAGTTCTGCTTTTTCATTCGATAGTACCTTTTAGACACCCGGTTATGCCTGATTGTTCTATTGAATAGTGGGCAAGACGACCCCTTCGGGCTCCTCCCGAGAGGTTGGGTTTAACATTAGCTTAGAATTTATTGTTCTTTTAGATCATGTTTATTCCTATTTAGCGTTCGACCCCAGTCGTGTCTGTATTTTAAAAATAAAAATAAAAATAAAAGTAATTCATATGAAGTTTTTCTCGATAGAATCTATAGATAGAATTGAAGATACGTAAATCAAAATCTGTGTTAACGTTTGTAGGTGGATTTTCAAATGATGTGCACATTCAATTTCTACTAGTTTGTGAACGTGAATATAACGATTTTTTTAAATTCTTATATTTTTTTATTTTCAAATATATATATATAAAGTTACATATCTACATATTTTAACGTAAAAATAATAAAAAAAAAATGGTCATTAATTTTGTTCTCTTTTATAAAGAATCTCATAATGTGCAGGACGATATAATAAAATTAAAGGTTTTAAATTATTATTATACACGATATCAGGATAAAATTCACGAAAATTAACACGTTCCATCGTATCAGATCCATTAATATAACCAATTTCAACTGGAACTTTTAATGCTTTAACTAATGCAATAACATGAAGATGATCAGCTTCTTGATCCATTGCTTCTACAAAGTTAGTACAAAATTGATCCATATCAATTTCAAATTCTAAAAAAGGTTCATAATCATCACGATATAATTTTAAATAAGCCGCAGTAATTAAACGTAAAAAGTATACAATATAACAAGAAATTTCTTCAGCTTGAAACGTTACTAATAACATATCTTCGTCAATTTCATCATCCATAATATTTTTAATTTGTTGTTCAATAATATTATAGGCATCTTCATAAATAATTGAACTATATCCGGCTGAAATAAGAAGTGTATTTGTTGCAGCCAAAGTATTAAGTGCAGATTGACAAAGAGCTTTATTTTTTGAATTTAAAAGTTGTTCAAACCATGCAAACATAAATGCTAAATAATTATAATAATTATGATATTGATTAATTACATGGAAATTCACGGAAATTCACGGTAACAAGTGAATACATTACCTCTATAAAAACTGTTACCATCACTTCGACAACGTCTTATTTTATTGTATTGTTCTGCCAAGTTCTAACATTATTAATTATAAAGAATTAATTCTCATTATCATATAATGTTGATACGCAAAAAGATGATGACAAACCATAATTCTTTGCAGATAAATTTCGCCACTCTCCTCATATTCATGATATAACAATTGAATATCCTCTGTTGTACAAACAGGAGGTGTTTCAATTAGATCACTTTCCCAAATCAGTTGTGAACTAATATCAGTTTCCTGTGTGGCATTTAAGGTATTAGTAGAATTGGAAGTAACTTGCGCAGTATTTGAGGTAGTAGACTGAGAGGTAACCACGGATTCTCGTGTAGTATTTGAAGTAGTAGATTGGGAGGTAACTTCGGGTTCTCGTCTAGTATTTAAGGAGGTAGATTGGGAAGCAATTCTTGCTCTCATTGCAGAATTTAAAGGAATAACAATTTTTGTATTGATAGGGATTGTCTTGTTTATCCGTGGTTTTGATTGTTTACTACCATCCAGAAAATATTTCAATAATTCTTTGTATAATTCTTTAGGTATAATCTTCTGATAAGGTAACACTTTATTTGTAAATTCATTAGAAGATAAATTATAAAATCTCACACAAGGAATACATTGTTGTAAAGTATTCTTTAAAGTAATAAAATTATCTTTCGTACAATTGGAAGGATCCGAAGGAAGTCCAGGATTTTGAGCGAGACCCCATTTAAGAACATAATCCCATACTTGAACTTCACTAATTTTAAGATTATTATTTTGAATGATAGAAATCAAAGATTTTTCTGGTATTGATACAAAATTAGGTGAATTTAAGATCTTTTCCGGTTCGTTAGAAATTAAATCATTACAAAATTTTTGAAGAACTGATAATGAATCATTTTCAAAACTTGTTTGATATATGATATTAAAATTTTGTTCCATCCAATTTTTTTTATTTTCAATCAAAAAAGATTGTAAAAAATCAATTAATTCTTCAAGATTAAAATCGTTAGCAGCTTTCAAAATTTTAATAATATCTGAAGTATCAAATTCATCCAAAGAAAGATTTCCTCCATAAATATATCTAAATATAAAAAAAAATTAAATAAAAAAAAAAATCATTTATAAAAAAAAATGAAATCTATTAATTTTTAAACGTAATTAAATTATTCATTCTTACTTTAAAATTATTTGAAAAATATCCGGTAAAATATTTGGTAATTTAATTTGTGTCAAAGTTCCATCATTCTTCTTTTCATTATTTGTTGATAAAACATTTTGAAAATAAGGGGAACGACAATTTAAAATTACCATATGAGAATGAAAAATTTTTACGTCAGAATTTTTTCCAACTTCAATTATAATATCATGATATTTATTATTATTCACATTTTCAAGTAAATTTTGTGATAATTTAGGTAAAAATTTACTTTTTATTTACAAATAATTGAGATTTAATCTTTTCATTTGAAAAAAAATAAAATTCTGCTAAACCAAAAAAATTATATCCTAAAAAAAAAAAAAAAAAAAAAAAAAAATTTAACTTTTTTAAACTTTTAGCTTCTTATGATCTTTACGATACCGAATTTAGTTTATCAGTGAAGAATATTCTTATTATACTTTTGCATTGCAGTACATCTTATGCAATGTTTTATAAGGTTCTATGGCGCGAGCAAATTGTCAATGATCTGCGTGAAAATTTTCATTATGCGTAAAAAAGTATTATATGATCGAAATGTCAAAGAATTTAAATAAGTCGTCATTTAGTTCTTTAATAAGAAGTTATGGCTTTTTTTCCTTAATAATAATTGATAAGATTTTTTTACTTGATTATCAATTGATTTTCACAAGGAAAAATTTCGTTAAAAATTGAGGTAAAAAAAATTCGGAGAATCGGTGCTGCATTTTTACGCGTATACTAACGCTAATTGGATACATATTAAATCTTATTTCTTTATATCATAAATAAATTTATATAATTATTAAATAGAAGCCTTATAAAAATTGACAATAAAATAAAAGCCTTATAAAAAAAAAAAATTTTTTTTTTTTATAGTAGTATTTATTAATCCAAGAATAAATTAAAAATTTATTTGTCAAAACGGAAGTTTATTTTTACCATCCACTAGAATTTATGCAAAAATCCTATTTTAAGTTAAATAAATGAATTTAATATGAATTTATTATTTTCTAAATAAAACTAACTATTAAAAAAATAACCTAATAAATATGAAAGTTAAAAAATAGTTACGTTAATATTTCAACCTTAAAATTAGAAATAAGTGATTTTTCTCTTTTATGACATATTTTTTTAATATAATAGGACAAATGTTATAACCACGTTTTCTGTAGGATTTTTTTTTATTTAAATCATACTTTTAGAACATCATTTTTACAATTTTTTATTTTTTTGTTTTAAAAAAATTAAAATAATAATACTGTAATAGTAAATTAGTTATAATTTTTATAACAAAATAAAATTAACATAAGAAAAAAGATATAAAGAATGAAAATGTATATAACAACATAGTATTGAAACTTAAACTTTCAATGTTTAATCTCGAGAAGAACATAGAAGATAGTGATAAAATATTACCGCTATTGCCAAGTAAAAATTTTGCTATGGCGATTTGGTACTCCTTTTAATAACATTACTAGCTAATTATGTCGGATAAATGGAAATAATATAAATCTGACGATAACACTTGTACATTAAAGATACGACCTTGTGAAAGGATAAGATCATTCTGACTAGATGTCACGATCGTCTACGAGAAATATTGACGAAGATCTTAATTTGATAATATTAAAGAACATTATATTAGACGAGCCAGTCGAGCCATATTTCTATTCTAGAGCACTATCATGATTAAGAAAAGAGAAACTAACTATCGACAAAAGCAAGGATTACTCAAAAGTGATTTGTAGGTTTACAAAAAAAAGTTTTATTGAAATTAATATCCTTCTTTTCATTAATGACAACACGAATAGTACATACCCAAAGCAAATATTCTACCGACAATAATGAAACTATAGATATTTATTGACAATTCTTACATTAGAACTGATAATCTGATAACAGATGTTTTTGCGCAAATGATCCCTTTAGGAAGTTTTCTAGTAAATACTGGGTCTCATCAAGAAAAAAAATTATTTTATTAAAATAGCATCATATAGAGAAAGCTTAATTAGATTGATAATTTTATAATCGAATCAACTTATACTAAAATCCACAGAACAAAAATCTTAGGAATTTAGATAAACAAATTTATTATATATATATATAGACACTGAAACTATCAACTACAGACGCCTATATATATATATACACATATATATAACTTATATAATTATTTAAGGAGATAAAGAGTTTTTAAACCCAATTTAAATAATTAAACAAGGACTCAGCATTATGAAGAGAAAGAATAATTATATTTTAATTGTTTAACTAGTTATTTATAGGTTTATATACTTGATTTGATCACAATCCATATTTTTATATTCAAAATTCAATATGGTTTACATCTAAAAATTAATTCTAAAGTCCTACAAATATTTTTTTACTATAGAAAGGTTGTTGGAATTGTCAAATACATGGAAAAGAAAGTATATGAAGTATAAAGCACAGATAAATTTCTATATAATATACTTGCCTAAAACTACAGACCACCCCTTCGAGAAATATTAATTTCACATCACGTGATAAAAATACCATAGTAATGTACTAATAATAAAACAACTAATAATATATAGAATAGAATTAAAATAGATAAGATAGAATTATAAAAACAAAAAATCATAAATATTAAATGCTTTTTTTCTAAAAAATAATAAAATAATAAATATCGCTATTTGATAATGTTTTTTAAAAAATTTAAAAGTCCAGTGGCAAAATTAACATTTTTACATTAGTTAAAACATATAAATTTTTAGAATAAATTAGAACATAATATCGAGCCTGATAATATTTATCATGATGATGACGAAAAGATTGATAATACAATCAGTTTAATTGATCATTAAAATGCTGGATCGTTAATTTTTATATTATATTAGCAATTAATATAGCAGTAATAAAGAGAATATAGATAAGAATAATATGAGATGCTTAAAAAAATTAATTCAAAGATACTAGACTAAAACAGGAATTTGCTACAAATACATACAGTATTTGTTATTTATTGTTATGATCTCAAAGAGTGGGAATTCAAAGCTTTTCATAAACTTCTCATAAAAAAATGGTTATAATTTCTATGTCAAAAATATATATATTATTGCTTTATTGCTTAAATTTATTATATAATCTTGACCAATTACGGTTTTCATTAAATTATAGTAAGAAAATAGATGCCTATATATAGATATTTAATTACATTTTAATAATTTAAATGTGTATTTAAAAATTACAATTCATTCAGTAAAAAAAATGCATTAATACTTATGGCAGTATTATATAGAAAAATATTTAATATTTTAGATATGATCATAATACACTTTCTTTAATCAACTTTGGATCATGAGGATATAATTCCAAAGTTAATGCTATTTACAGCAAGAATTATATTACTATCCGAGAATGATGCCATTTTCAAGCACGAAAAAGAGCATGATGATCGATTACCTATGTTGACTAGTTCGTAAAACTTGTGGTTTTCTATAACAAATAGTGACCTTCCAGACATCAACAATGCATGATCTGGTTCGTTGTAAAAGATAGAGTTGATATGTCAAACAATTACATAAAATCACTGGAGATTGCAACAAGAAGGGCGAATTGACGAACATCCGAACATCACAAACGCCAACTTATGAATTCAAGGAGAGATCAAGTATGAAATTTATTATTTAACTGCAAGCAATTAATTAACTATTATTAACTTTATTAATTCTTTTTTATAGAAAATTGGAAAGCGTAGAAATGGATTACAGATATGATAAGAGCCGATGATAAGTTATTAACAAAATGTTGCCCCAAAAATATTACGTTGGACACATTTATGAAAAACTGCGAAAAAGCATGAAAGGGTTGGCATATTTCAAAAATTTAACAAAAAAAAAAAAAATTCTTTCAACTATGGTACCAAACTTACAAAAGAAAAATTTTAATTAAAAATATGAAAGAATGTTTAATATACTTTATAGTTATTACAGCTGATTTTGAAAAACACAGCATAATATAATATAGGATTTTCAGTATATAGATCTAGCGTTATTCCCGTCGTCGACGACACCGTCATCGACACCATCATTAAATAATTTTTATTTGTCTATTTTTTTTTATTTTTATATTTATTATTCTATTTTTATGTTTTTACACTATATTATTCTATTTTTTTTTTTATTTTATTCTCCATTTCACCGAATCGAATATCTAAAACGAAAAAAAAAAATATTAAATTAAATAAATTAAAATTAAAATATTATAAAATTTTTTCTATTTTATAAAATTTATAAGTCCCATAATTTTAAATATTTAATAGAAATTATTTTAATTTTTTTTAAAAAGATTCTATTAAGCATAATTGTGTTTTACTGCCATAATTATTTACGTACAACTTCAAGGAACGGAGGAAGGTAAAGTAAAATGGATAAGAACAAAAGCAGTAGAGTCTAAACTCTAAAGGGATAAGAAGAAAAATGGCGGATAAATGTAAAAAAGACAGGAGGTAGCATGGGATAACGAGATGAAAATGAAAAAAAATAGTTAAGTAAAAATAAAAGTTACGAGATAAAGGTAACGCTTCGAAATTTTTTTAAAATTAAGAGAAAAATTTAAATCCCAACGGGCAAGTAAAAAATGATACTGAGGGATGAAATCTTCGTGAAATTGTACTAAAGACGTTATTTTTATAGTTATATTATAGGACCGGCGCAGTGTATTCTTTCTGGGGAATCGGATATTAACATATAATTTGGATCTTGTCTTATATTCATTATTTTTACATAATGTTCAGGAGAAATCGATGTAGGTTGACATCGAATAAAATTTTTTTCAATAATCAAACTTGTTATGTCCTTTTATTATTATTTTTTTTTTCATTATTATTATTTTAATTATATTTATTATAATATAACATAAGTGAACGATATGATAATCGATGATACGTTATTGCCAATATCAATTAGAATATTCCGGAGTATATAATAAAGTAATTATTGATGCTTTAACATTTGAAACTATCAAACTATCTAATTATAGATGGATAAAATACTGTATGTGTTAAACTATGTAAACTATATAAAACCTATAAAACCAGCTTTTTGTGATCGAAAACGAATATATACACAATTGCGAGAAATAAAAGATTTTTAAAATAAATAAGCGCATCATAAATTTTTCTAACTTGAGGGTATCGAAGAAATATATGTAATGATAAGAAAAAAAAATCGATAATTTATAAATAAATCGGTCAACACTTCCTTTATAATTGATACGTTCGTTAATATTAAAGATTAAAAGATTGAACAGGAATCTTCTGAAATTTGGTATACTTCATAATCTTCTACAGAAAATGTATCTCCAGTTCCCCTGATAGATTTTTCATAAGAACCTCTTTTACAACAACCACTATAAGAATTATTTCCAGATAAAACGAGGTCACCGTTACCAAATGATGGACCGTAAGAAGAGTTATTAAGTATAGCGGACCGTTCGTTCTTCACACGACTTAAAATACAATCATCATTTTTAAAAGAGAATATAAAACTATTACTAGCAGTACCATAACTACTTTTTGATTTCCATACAACCGGATTATACCCTCCAATAATCTCATTACCGCCTTTTACTTTAACAATTGTTAGAGTGCGAGCTTTATTATCACAGATTTTGTGAAATTTTTCGGGTGAAAATCCATCACGAGATCCACTAATTAATAATTTGAACTCATATGAAGAAGTTAATTCATCAGTAATTTCTAAATTGTCAATCCATTTTGTGATTATTTCAGCATGCTTAAATGTAATGATATTTGAATCTATACCTCCAAACGATTCATTAGATTTGGACATACGACGTTCCGGATTAGTCTTTTTATGCTCTGCAGCCATTTGAGTTATCTCCCTAGTAGTCTCCTCGGTCGGCACAGGTTCTAATTGAGCTACCTCCTCAGTCATCTCAGATTCTAATTGAGTTATCACTTCAGTCATCTCAGATTCTAATTTAGCTATCCTCTCAGTATCTTCAGTCATCTCAGTTATCTTAGTCTCTTGAGTCACAAAATCCTCTTGAAGCTCATCAGACATCTGAGATTCTAATTTAATGTCTTGAAATTCATCGTAGCGAGATTTTGGCCTATCATTTGGTTTATTGTTATGACTCAAAAAATATTTAACCAAGTCCTTATATAATTCTTTTGGTAAAACTCTCTTAAAAGGTAATACTTTTTTCGAAAATTCATCAGAAGTTAAATTATGGAATCTAATAAAAGGAATACACTCCTGTAAGGTATTCTTTAATATATCAAATTCGTCTTTTGATAAATCTAAAGGATCAGAGGAAAGTTCTGGATTTTGAGCAAATCCCCATCTAAGTAAATGTTCCCATACTTGAATTTCATTCATTTGAAGATTATTATTTTGAATAATTGAGACCAAAAGTTTTTCTGGAATTGAAAAGAAATTTAATGAATTAAATATTTTTTCTGGTTCGTTAGACGCTAAATTTGTACAAAAGGTTTGAAGGTTTAATAAACAATCATATTCAAAACTAGTTTGATATACGATATTAAAATTTTGTTCCATCCAATTTTTTTCATTTTCGATTAAATAATATTGTAAATAATTAATCAACTCTTCAAGATTAAGTTCACTAGCAACTTTCAAAATATTGATAATTTCTGATGCATCATATCCTTCCAAAGGAAATATTCCTCCATAAATATACCTAAAATAAAAAAAAAATTCGTTTGTAAAAAATATATATATATATTACATACTGTAAAAAAAATATATATATATAACATACTATAAATATAAATATATATATATATAATAAATTATTTTATCTATTTATAATTTAAATATTTTCTTACCTTAAAACTATTTGAAAAATTTCTGGTAAAATATTTGGTAAATTAATTTTTACCAAAGTTTCAGGATTTTTCTTTTCATTTGTTAATAAAATATTTTGAAAATAAGTGGAACGACAATTTAAAATGACCATATGGGCATGAAAAAATTTTACGTAAGGGTCACTTCCAACTTCAATTATAATATCATAAAATTTATCATCATTCAAATTTTTAAGTAAATTTTTTGATAAAGTTGATAAAAATTTATTATCATTCATTTTTTCCTGTTAATTGTAATTTTTAGTTTTTGATTTTTTTTTTTTTTAATTTAATTCTAGTTTCATGAGAGAATTTGGAAAATGATTTTTTGATCATTTTAACTTTATATATATTGATGGTCTGGCGTGATACCGGTTTGAATACGTTTTATTTATTCGTACTACATCGTTATTGTTATCCATTAACAGTCAAGTAACTCATTCAGTGTATGAAATTCACGCATTTTGCGCAGTGCGCAACAAATAGTCACGTGCAATTTGCGCGATTTTGCGCATATCCGCAAATATTTTCAAATATATTTTTGCGCAAAATTATTTAGAATTTGATTATAAAATAAATAAATAAATAAAATATTTATTTAATTAAACAGAATTAAGCAATATTAATTAAATTTTAAGTTATTAACAACTACTTAAGTACCTAAATGACCTAATTGACCTAGTCGCCCAATAATTGTAAGCCGCCTCAAAATCAAAAGGGTGGACCATTAATTAAAATATTTAAATGATAATAAAATGTTTCCAAGCCTCTTTATAGCAAGATTAAATACCTTATTAGTTTAGTGTCATTTATGCCATATTAAAGCAATAAAAAAAAAAATTATGATTTTGTGAATTGTGATACAAGAAATTTGCGTACTTTGTACTTTGTGGAATTTACGCACAATTTTGAAAATTCGGGTTGCGCAATGCGCAGATAAAAATCACGTGAAATTTGCAGAATTTAAAAGTGGTTTGCGCTCCGCAAATTCCCCAAATAGATTTCATACACTGTATAAATAAATAAATAAATCACTGCAGATTTTGTATACCGATCTTTCAAGTTCAAGTATTGTACAATCAACTCTGGCCAAATGCCAGCCTATCCCACAAATTTAACATTGCATTTATATAAAATGAGAATTTATGGTAATTGGCGGCTTTTAAAAAGTATACCAATACAAAATTTCAATAAGGCAACGCAAAGTTATAAAATTGGTTTTCATATCACAATTTGCCTTTTTTTTTGAGCCCGATCACTTAACCAACAAGAATCTTATCAATAAATAAACGCTACTAAAATTATTGTTAACAACTTTCATAGTGTTTTTGCTGTGGTGAAAAAATTGCGTAAGATGCATTCTGTACTGTATTGACTTCCATTATTAAACAACTAGCCGAAGCATTCTAATCACATGATCGTCAATTATATTACCATGTTGCAAAAGTATGGCATCATCTTGACCCTCTTATAGAAGATAATTCTGTATCTCGATCGAAAATACCTGCACCTGTTTCTAGTTCAGTGATACATGCAGTTGAAAATTATGATCCATTGCCGTCAAGTATTCATGTTCGTCCGGAACTTTTACCGTACATTCCTCAACGCCCGATATATTCAAAGACGGTGCCACCTATTATCCGCCGGGTTCACTTGGATGGTTCACTTACCTAAATAAGAAAGCCAAATCGGCCAGTCAAAAGACAATACAACACATAAATAAATCGACAAATCATTTACGATAGATGGCTCACGAAAGAGAACAATGCAACGAAGCATCATACTACGGGACGAGTGTGTAGCACTTCGATACCCGCAAAGCATTAACGCGAGACTTAACTTTCTACCAAGATGGTTATCATGAGCATATGTTATATCCTCCTTTTCCAGACGTCATCGTTTGACAAAAAACCGCACGTACGAGTACGTTTAGAAGAAGAATACGCGAAATTTTTGCTAGACTACCTCACAACAGTTGGAGCACATCTATGGCACTACAGTGATCTCCGTTCAGATACATCTGATGATACTAAAGAACTTGAACAACGCCCTAACAAAAAGAAACACTGATCTTAACAAGAATTTGGATTCCTACAGATCGTTACATCAAGAGAAGAAATCGTGTCTGATGACAGAATTACTCGAATGATTCCCTGGCCTCTGGACTGTCTAACACCAAATGTTAGTTTTTTTTATTTTTTTTTAGAGTCATTATCCTTTTATACAAGTAGATTTCCATTTCTACATCTATTTACATCTCAAACAACTTAGAATAGTGTGGACTACTCCACCTTTGAAGTATTAGCAGGTGGTAACTTATTAGTTGAAAGTAAAATACAGATCATTTTTAATTATTTTTTTTCGTTTCCTCGGATGGCAGCGTATGTCTTCCATCCCGCAGTCTTTTTATATCGGGTGGCCCGATTCGTTTGGTATTATAGCTCAATTTTTAATAGTCAGTATAGTCGAACTCCTATCCGTGAAATAGATTGACTAGAATAGCCGCTCTTCTTAAAGTAAAATAAATAAAATAAATAACATCGCGTGGTCAAGAACGATACATTCAGGTGGCTACCGTATTACACCTGATTCTAAAATTATTGGCCATACAGGTGACGGACATTGCAGTCTTTGTATGGAAAGCCGTCATGGTCAAATGTGCGTAGTAATATAGTAGCGTGTATATGTTGTTTTACGGCGGGATACTCCTGAAAATAACAGGATACAGGGTCACCTGCTATAGCAAACGGCAGGTGCTTGCTATAAAATGGCCCATAAAATCAATGTAAAGTGATATTTATAATAAAAAATTTTTAACATTATGACAAACTTTGGAAATTTTCTAATGAAATTTTATTAGTCTATAAATCTGTTTATAACCGCTACAGTTTTTTAATATTTAAATTTTATGAATAAAAAAATTAAAGAAGTCGCTGTATAAATTAACTGCAAAAAAATAGCAGGTACCCGTCATAAGTTACAGCGGGTTACGCTATATTTAGTGACGGTCTTTTGACCAGTATGGCTTGCCATAGGGTCTTGAGTGTACTTGAAAGTCCTTCACTGCGCTTCGTTCAATAAAGTCAATAATTTACATGTAATGGAAACTAATGTTGGATAGCTATCCTACTACTGTGCTGTAATATTCAGAATAAATGTATTTCAGAAGATTCTTTGAATCGTTGGTTTAATGTTTATGGTTAAATCTTGATAGCTTATTATTCCCAAAGTTAGTGAGCGTCATGGCCAAAATTATCCTACATTATGTTGGCCGTATTAAACTATGGAAATTCAAGCTTGGTTTTATAGTACTTTGCTCGATCAAAATACCTTATTCATTTATACTTTGCTCGATCAAAATGCCTTATTCATCTATTGAATTATGAATTAATAAATTCTATTGAGTATAACTGTTGCAGTAAAGCGGATTACGTGAACTGAAAAAACGAGTTTATCCGGTCTAAAGATACTATATTTTATAGGGAAAAAGAAAATTTTTTTGTTATAAATTTTATTGCTTATATTTTATTATGTTTTCCAGCTGAAATCATCAAGTTCTTATCCAAAATTAATTTTTTAGAAAGAAAACGAATAATTAATTTTATTCGTCCAAGTTATTAATTTCGCTTAAAACTATAATTAGTATTTCCTCCTAAAATTTCGACTTATTTTTGAAACACAGTTAGATACTGTACATTGTAATATACACAGCAAATATTTTATTGTAATCAAGCTTTTATTAATAATATATGATATGTTATATATACTAAGCAAAATATCTAAATTAAAACAATATTTTGTTTTAAGATTCAACTATGGATACAGCTAATCCAAGGTATGGATCAGGTTTGGGTGCAGGAAAAGCTCTTTTTCTAATATGAAATCCTTCAATTGGTTTAAAAACAAAATTTCTAATCAATATTCCTAACAATATTTTAAATTCAGTTAAAGCTACTTTACTACCTATACAATTTCTTGGACCATTATAGAAAGGTAAATAATTTAAGTTTGATATATTATTCACTAATGAAGGATCCAACCATCTTTTTGGATCAAAATCATCGGCTGTTGGACCCCAAATTTCAGGTAATTTATGAATTGTTGAAATTGACAATGATATTTCGGTATTCTATAAATAAATAATAATAATAATAATAAAAAATAATTAATTTTAAAAAAGAAATCTTTTAATGAAAATTAAAAATAATCGACATCGTACCTTTGGAATGAAATAATTCCCCAAAACTTCATCTTTAAGGTTAATTCGTCTAATATTTGATGCTAAAGCGAAAAATCACTAAGTTAGGATAAAAAGCGATTTGTTAAAAACGGGTCTGGTACGAAATCCCGACAGGTACGAAATCCCGAACTCTAATGCTGGTCAAACAACCACGTGACTCTGCATAATTCTGCATAACGCGGGCCATTTGTCGGGATTTCGTGATTTTGACCCGTCAGGATTTTGTACGGATCCCGTTAAAGGGTTAAAAACTATCATTATTAAATTTTATACCTGGAGCATTTAATCTTAAAGATTCTTTAACTATACAATTTAAATATTCCAAAGAATTAATCTCATCATATGTAGGATTGAATTTTGATTTATCAGGAAAGGCTTTAACCAACTCTTCACGCAACGTCTTGTTCATGTGGATGTTGTGCAAGTGAATACAAAGCCCAGCAAGTTGATATGCTTGTTGTTTCGTGTCCTGCAAATAAAAATGTCATGATCTAAATATTCAAAAGAAAAAAAAAGAAAAGAGAAAAATGAATAAAAAATCAATTAAACAAACTAATAATTGAAAAATAACCGAAAATTTTTTTAATTACCTGATATTTTAGTTCATCATCAGTCATTTTTTCTTCAGCGGGTAGTTTATTATTGATATTGATTAACAAAGATAATAAATCCTTTCCTTTTAATTCTCCATTTTTAGCCTCGTTATATCTTTCTTCAACCAACCTCTTTGATACACGGTCAATAGTTGCGCACGCATTCTTAAATCTTTTATTTGCTTCTAGTGGAATCTCTCTTACCGATGGAACATAATTCGATAAGAGATTAAGAACAATGCGTAAAGTAGTTACTGGGTTATTAAAAATAGAATCATAAGCTATTGCTAATTCATTTTGGGACGTTAATGAATTAAATTCATAATTAAATCCTAAAATAGTATATATATAAAAATGTAAATTTTATTATTGTAAACGAGGTAAATGATATAATATCAATATAGAAAACAAAATTTTTTCTCTTACCTACTAAGCCAATAACATCCAAAGTAGCTTTTGAGATGTAAGGAGTAAGGTTAATGTTAGTTTCTCCTGAGTTTAACTTCTCTTCTATCAAACCTTTTAAGGTAGAACCTATACGAACAAATGATGGTACCATTTCCTAAATCACAAATAAAAATATTATATTAACTTAATTCATTAAAATTTCCATTATGAAGTATAATTACTTTGACGTTACTATACGTAAAAGCTGGATTCGACAATTTTCTTTGTCTCTTATGGTCATCGCCTTCTGCATATATGAGACCTCTACCAATAAGTGAAATACCAGACGCATTAAGAGGCTTAATAAAATCATATGCTTTATTTAATGTAATTTCTTGAACTAATTTTGTATCTGCGATAAGAAGAATTGGATTATTAAATAATCCATGATATTTTATAACGTTTCCATATTTTTTAATCCATCTAAGTTGTGGTACACCGGACTATATAAAAAAAAATATATTACTTGTTTAAAATATGAATTAAGACTGCCGGATTAATAATATTTAGCAATATTTTACCTCTTCTGTCATAAGTGTTTTGAGATTTCCGTAAAGTGAACTTTCAGATGGTGGACCAGGAAATTTTCTCAAAGGAGAAATATAAAATGGCCAAATAAATATTTTATAAGTAATCCATCCTATAATTCCTAACACAAAATAGCTAATTAAAGAAATGAAATTAATCGAAAACATTTTTTCTTTGTTAATAATAAATTATAACAAATTAGTAGACGGAGCGAGAGATTTTGTAAATTTGTCGTTTATTTAAATCTGAATTAATCGTGATAAGAATGATCGACAAAATATGAAACTCCTAGTTGGACATGAATACTAATATGAACAACAAAATGATGCGGATAATTTCTCCCCGATATTGTGACACAGCACGTAGCATTATTTATTTATTTTGCGAATTATAGATTATTTATTATTTATTCTTATTATATAATAATTAATAATCGTATTAAATTATTAACATGCATTTTGCTGAACCCAATTCCAAATTTGTTTATTATTAGCTAAAGCGATAATTTTATTATACAATAGTCGCGCTTCACTAATTCGAGTATAGTATGTACTGTATACCATGAATTTCAAGAACGAATTGTTTTGCTTTAAAAAAAAAGATGAATAAGTCCATATAGTATGTATAGTATGCAGCAATTAAAATTTTTCATTGTGCTGTAATTAGAATGTTATTACGATGACTAGGGCGAAATCAAGAATAAAGTTGAATTTTTTCGATAAATATAATTCATATAAAAAATTGTGCCTTTTAATAATGTCGTTGTACAATGAAATTATTAATTTATAAAAACATTTATATTAACATTTGGAATATATAAGAAGTAAGATATTTTTATTTTCTCTTGAGTACTTAAGAAATAGAACGATTTAACAATTATATCGTAAGACGGATTTTCATAGACGATGGTCAAACCAAAATATACAAAAAAAGAAATGTAATATTAAAAATGTAATAAAGAAGAAACCTCATTAGATTTGTCATGTTTGTTGAATGTAAGATTTATGCCAAGAAATTGGCTAATTTAGGGGTATCAATGAGATAGTCATAACTGGTTAAGAACTTAATCACCTGATTGACCGTTTTGATCTGATCATCAATCTGATTAAAAAAATGCATCGAATTAAGGAAGAATTTATTTTTTTTTTTCTAAATACATAAAAAAAAAATAAATAATTAAACTACTGTTTTTTTTTAAAAAAAAAAAAATTGTAGTGTAGCACTTTTTTGGCTAACCATTTAATTTAACTATGGAATAATTTTTATTTATTATATATTCTTATACTGTTATGGGATCACACTGTACTTTTTTTATATTTATTGAACAGCTTTATTATTGATGATATATATAATAAATGAATACTGTTTAAATCATTATTTTTATACAATAAAACCTTAAATAGACTATAAATTAACTCGTGACTGATTTAATAGTGTAAATATTATACTAATCCATGAATTTTAATGCGTAGTCAATCACGTGACTGAGGCTCCTGCACAGTACAGTTGAAATACTTACGGATATGTTTAATTGGAATTCAAATACGGAAATACCACAATCTCATCATTCTAAACGCAGCTAAATAATTTATATAGTTTTTCTTATAAATTTCGGTTGTGATTGTATTTAATCTATTACAATCAATTACAGATATAATATCTTTAAGACATTTTGTTTTTCGGCATTGTATCTATTAAACTAAAATGATTTATTAACATTGTCAATATCTTTATCATAAAAATTTTATTTTCCTTTACCATATTAATGTGTATAGTTCATTTTTCAATGTTGACGCGACCACATCACTGTTATAAATTAAATTTTAAAGTAACTAATAATGTTATCATATACAATATTTGGGAAAAAGTAAAATATAATAGAATTACAGTATTATCATTTTTTTTTTTTTGATTTTAATCGTAAAATTTGAAAATCCAAAAATTATGAAGAGTTTACTTAACAGCGCCACAATCTAAGATGTATAGCAACGACGAATGTGCAAGTTGGTGAGGTTCTTTTGAATCCTTATATAGTAAAAGTACAATAAAATACTTTTGTATACTAATTGTCTAACTAGTAGTTTATACTTTATTCAGTACTCGTTCCAACGAGAATATATTAGTAGTTCGTATTTAAAGTAGTTGTGCTGATTTCAACATTTGTTCACGACATTGGGTCTCGAATAACAACATTAAAAAAAAATTCCCTTAAATTCGAAGAGTGTTTACAGCGTATATAAACGTTAAATTATGTAGCGTGTATACGTTATTTTTTACGGCGGGTTACCCCTGTTCTGTCAGGTTACATGCAATTTCAAGGGTAGCCTGTCGCAAAAAACAGCTTTTAATACGTTATATTTCATAGCGTTGTATACGTTATATGTTATGAAGGGTACCCGTCATAAGAAACGGCAGGTACCCGCTATTAATTACAGCAGATGTTCGCTAATGTCTGTTATGAAAAAACAAGTCAACTAATAATTAAGATCTGAGTTTTCATTTAATAAATATGGAAAAAAATTCAAAGATTCGGGCAAAATTAATTATAATATTTTCTATATAAGTCAAAATTACCTCAAAAAAATTAGGGGACCGCTGAAAAAAGTGGCGGGTAGCCGATTACTTTGGTAGATACTCGCCGTTTACTTTGGCAGGTACCCGTTGTTTACTACGGCAGGTACCTGTTATAAGAAGCGACGGGTCAACCTTGTAATTAACGGGTTGAACCGTCAGTACAAGGGTAACCCGCCGCAATATTAGCAGCTAACCCGCCGCTATTAATTGCGTATACCCGCTGTAAAGTATGGCGGACTGCGGCTTACCAATGCTCAAGTGGCCCAAGCGGCCAATTATATCATTGGAGCCAACACGTGACTTAGAGTAACTGCTGATTGGATATGACTCCATGGCGTCATCACTTGGAGCAGGCGATCGTAACATATTTCTGTGGAAACGTGATCGGTGTGACATCATGAAGCACTATTATTTAAAAAAATAGAACCAAAAGTGATGTTGTCGCATTGTTGGAAAATGTAAATTATCGTATACTATTCATGAATATTTTTTTTTTTTTCTTTTTTTCATATGTAAAATGTTTGTTCACAAAATTATCTTTAAAAACTATTTTTAAAAAAAATCACCAGAAAAATGAGTCCACGGTTACATTGCAAACTAAAATGAATGTTCGGTGAGTAATCACTGTATAAGACTGATAATTAGATTCCATAAAATGAAGATTCATGAACACAATACAATAAACAGAAAACTTATTTTGGAAAAAATGAAGACGACGATAGCGTCGCCGAATTGGATTCATATACTCCAGCGTAATTTTAAGAAACGGACTACTTTTTACCTTAACGGCCTATTATTGTTCCTGCTATCAAAATTCATGTAAAGAAATATCCCATCATGGGATGAAAATACATTGTCGTCATCATATCATTTGTTCCATTTTTTTTTGGTTTTGGTTAACTCGAACGCGTGTCAAAAGAAAAGAAATTAAACTTTTTATTTATAAAGCGACAATTCTTTTACATGGTAACTAATTAAACTTAAAATTACAGTTTTTTTACGTAGACAATAAAATACCATTTTCTAATCGATAAACTTTTTCATAATTAAAGCAATAAAATTTGGTAACTAGTTAGTTGATACAAAATATAATTTTCAGTTTCATATTCCAGAAAATCTGATTTTTGAAATTTAAATTTTTTTTTTATATATTTATAAAACCATATCTGGTATAATTCATTTATTTAATATACTCTAATTATAACTTTTCGTATTATAAAGTCAAAAAAACAATTAACTTGTTTATACTATATAAGGGTTTTGAAGATATACCCGACCCGACCAAAGTGAGAAAGTCTTGACTCTAAACCCGACCCGAGTATAGTTCGACCGGATATCCCGGGTCTAAAACCGAATTTTCAAAGGAAAAAAAAATGAGCAACCACCATTTTTTCGGCACTATAATGGAACCTTAATGAATTATTATAGATTTAATAGATTTGTAATATTATGAAGTATTTGTTCAATAACTCGGGTCAACCGGGTCGGGTCATGCGGGTCGCCGGGTCATAAAATTATTGAACTCGACCCGAGCTTTTAAGTCGGGTCGGGTCACATGACCCGGGTCGACCCGTTCCGTTAGGAGCACTAGGTTAAATCAAAGGCAAATTTCGATATGAGAACCAATTTTTTAACTTTCATTTTACTATAATGCATGAAAATGAATTAGTAATAAAAAATTAGGTTAAGGCATTAGTTGTAATTGTAATAAATTACTTAAAATTAATTCATTTATGGTTTAATATAACCGAACATTACTATATATTTATATATTAAACAATCCAGTTATTTACAGTACTGCGTATTAAGTAAAAAAAAATTGGGTTTAAACATTATAATTTTAAGAACGTTGATATCAAGATCAATTTCTTTAGTGACGTATCCTTATATTGAAAACAAAAATTAGATAAAAATATTATAATGTTGATTTATATTTGTTTACCTTTATCACGAGGTTGATTAGAGCTCATATTAATATCTAATTCAATTTCTTTTGTAAAGTAATCTATAAAATCATAAAAATCAATTAAATTATGAAATAAAATATGTTGATTGTTAAAATGTAATTTTATTTACCACTATTTTCAGATTCAAGAAATTTTCTTCTTTTAATACTTTGGTCTAAATAATTATGAATGTGAATTAAATAGTAGAAAATATTAACAATTTATTGAATTAATTTCCGTACCATTGTCATTACTGTCTTCAACTGAATCATCTTCAAACTTTCTTTTATCTTTAAAATAATTTTAATAATAAGTAAGAACATAAAAAAACAATTAAACAAAAACTGAATAATTACCAATATTTTTCTGATAATAATAAAATGGATCTAAAATTACTTAAAAATGAATAATTGTTTAAAATTTTTCTTGCAACAAAAATGCGTTGTAATTAATAAAATTTGTTACCAATACCCTATAAAAAATAAGTGTCCGGAAATTGTCCAGAAATTGTCCGGAAAATTTGTCTAAATAATTGTCCAGAAAATGTCCAGAAAATGCCAGGTACCATGTCCGGAAATTGTTCCGAAAACACACTCGATTCCGGACACTCATTTTGTCCAGAATTTGTCCGGAAATTGACCTGAAATATTTTTTCATAAAATTTGGCACAAAAAGATGATCAACAGGTGACCATCATTATAATTGCTTTTAACTTAAAGTTTTATATCATAGATATATACTATTTTTGCCTGCTCAGCAAATTTAATTAGTATGACAAAGAAGGTTATGAATGTCAGTCTTGTGCTTTTTGCATTTTTTTACAAAATTAATTTATCCTTTTTTGGAAGTAGCGTCCAGAATTTGTCCAGTTCAAATTATCTGAATTTTTACTATGTCCGGAATTTGTCCAGGTTTATCTGTCCGGAATTTGTCCAAAATTTTATACTGGACAAATTCTGGATATATTCTGGACAAAGTCCGGATATGTCAAAATTTTAGGTATCAAATTTGTAGCAAAAAAATAGACATTTTCCGGACAATTTCTGGACATGCCAGATTTATTCTGGACAATTTCCGGACATTTTCGTAGACATTTTCCGGACATTTATTTTTTATAGGGATAGATTGACTCCTTGAACTCCTTAAAGACATTGCAGATTGAATCATGCAACTTAAAGGTCTACAGTCTACTCTTATAAATGGCATCTGGATTATTTATTGTTACAGGTCCAATGTCTGATGATTCTATAATTTTAGTTTGATTGGGATTATTTTCATTAACCCACATTTTATCAATTTCCCCAAATATGTTATCAACTGTTGGCCTTTTTGCTGGATCAGAATGCCAGCATCCCTTCATTAATTCAATATATCCTTCAGGTGCATTTGTAACAATTGGTGGTCGTAAACCATCACATATTTTAATTATAAGTTCTATATCATGAATTTCTTCCCAAAAAGGTCTTCTACCTGTCATAAATTCCCACATAATCATTCCAAAACTATATATATCTGAAGCTTCAGTATATTTTTGTTCTTGAAAAATCTCTGGTGCCATATAAGGAATAATACCATATTTCTCATTATCATTATTTGATTCAGTTGCAGATCTACTTATTCCCAGGTCACCTATGTACGCAAAATTTTTATCAAAAAAGATATTTCCACTATGTAAATCTCTGTGAATAATTTTTGCTCTATGTATTTCTATAAGTCCATATATTATATAAAATAATCTACTCAGTTTTGTCCACCAATTAATATTATAAAAGTTATTACTTAAATAATGTATCAAATCACCTGAACTATAATATGGCATGATAATTATCATATCTTTAGTAATAGGATCTTGAGTAATTCCAAAATATTTACTAACGCTATGATTATTACCGTTTGATAAAATCTGATAATATACCTTAAACTAAATAAATAAAAATTTAATTTATCATCATTACATTGAAAATTAGAAATATTGCCATGGACTATACCTCGTTCAGTTCCTTGGATGTAATGTTTTTAGAATTATTAAGTTTTTTGAGAACAACTGTATAATTATTATTACGAACAATTGTATTATTACAACTAGTGTAGTACAAATCAATTGGACCATCAACCCAAATAGCTTTATAAATTTTACTAAATCCTCCTTCGGCAATAAATTCTATATTTTTGAATTGATCATGGGGAACAAACTCCAATATCCAACGTTTTGAACCTGTAACAAAATTAACTCGTGTATTTCTTATAAAGTCATCAATGACTTTGTTCCTACTTAAATTAGGTTTGAATATTTCATAACATAATTGACAAGTTTCATAATTTTCGTCTATAATTTTTCCTTTCTTACATTCTTTACATTTTATCTCTCCCTTACTAAATATAGCAGTTCGTGCTGGCCGATTTAAGGACATATTGTCTGACATCATAAGCATATTTATATTAATTGTTCTGTTATTTCAAAAAATATATAATTTATTTGTAGCGTTCAAGAAAACCTTCTAGTATATAATATTAAAGTAAGGAGTTCAAAATCCTAAAAAATTATAGTAAACAATTAATCTAGAAGTTCATCATGGAAAGATTCTTGACAAGAATTCTATGAAAGAATAAAAGAATTCTGTAGTTGCAATGATCAACTCGTCTTCCGTGATACAGGTTACAATGATATGCTGCGTACTATTTTAAAATATCTCCATTAAAGGTAGGAGGACAAATTTCCAAAAATTCCATTGTCCTATATATACTTTTAAAATACATTATAGAGTATGGTACGGTATGGTACGATTGATAAATTTCTTTTTTCTTCAAAGGTGGCTAAATGTAGGGTTCAATGACCGCGGTTCGAGCTCCAAAACATGCCAAATATAAAAGTCAAAAATGGTATTATAAAACCATCATTCCGTCTTTAATTAAATTTGTACCAATTTTATTTAGGAAATTGGAAATCTTACGTGATAAAAATTATCAACATAATTACTACGGATGTGAAAAAAAAATATAATCCTTATTTTTATATTATAAAATTTTTATTATTTTTTTTAAAATTATCATGAGAATATAATACTCAAATAACTAAGTTGATAAAGGATTTGAATATTTAAATTTTAATTATATTTTTTCACCTAAGTACCATTAAATAGCGTACAAGATCTAAAAAGTGTAACTAAATTTCATAATTTTGATTAATCTTTAGGAGATATCATAGAATCTAATTAAGGGAATAAATCTGTAAATAATCGTTTTAAAGGGTCATAAGTCATCTTAACTTCACTGAGATGCGTCTCTACTACAATAATGTTCTTGTGCCAATCCCCATTTAACTAAATGTTCCCATTTTCCAGATCTCAATTCATCAATATCCAAGTTTTCACGTTTTAAATATAATTTCCAATAATTGAGTGGGTAGTTGAGTGAATTTTTTATTAGAATTGAATAAAATTTTCGGTTCAGGACAGATTGCTTCTAAATAAAATTCTTGTAAATCAACAAGAGATTGGTGATGAAAAATAATTTGAAAAGAGTCCCGATCTTTTTTTTTTTTAATATTTGATGATGTTTAATATTTAGTTAATTTTTTCAAATTTAATTCATCTGAGGCTATTGTAGTATTCATTACGTTTCATTTTTGATATAAACGTGGCCTATATAAAGGTACAGTACCTAAAAATAAATAAATAAACGAATGATTTTTTTTTATCAGAAAATTTTCTTCTCTGATAATAATAAAATTACTTACTTAAGAGAATTACGTTAAAAGCTTGAGGCGTTTCTACATCAAAGATATTTCAGTGCATATGGAATTCCTTAAAATCAGGTTCCTCTTCAACGTGAATGATAACATTTATTCAGTTTTAAGTAATTGTTCGAGCGCTTTGGTTCGTATATAATTATAAATTTTTTGTATTTTATTAAAGAAAAGAGAGAGATTTAATGCAAGGATATTATTTTAAGTCTTTTATATTTCATTTTTCTTTTCACAAAAGCTCCATTAACTCTCATATAAGCATATTTTTACGGGACGGAAATAATTTCCGATTTTCAATTTCTTTCATAACGGTATAATGCAAATTTTAACTATTTACAATAATCTATATGATAAATTTCTTTGGATTTGGGTGTGAGCAGCATTATTGTTGCAATCATGGTTATGTTGTTGCTTAAGATCAATAACCTTCTTTGATTTACAAATTCTTCCATGATGACATTCAAAAGACCTTCTTACAATGATTGATTCATCAGTTTTATCTTTTTCTATTCGTCCTTTTATGATTACAAATCCATTTGATTTTGCATACTGATCAAGAAAACGTTCTGCAAGGTCATAATTATTATTAATAAAATCTTGCCGCTTTATTAGTGACAAAATCTAGGAAAATTGAGTCTAACTTTTCCAAAATTGAATTTATAAATAAATTTTATTAATTTGTTAAACAGTTATACTAAAAAAAATACAGTTATGAACTTTGAAAAAGATTTTAAATGTAATATTTTCTTTTTTGTTGCCTTACTTCCTTACCAAACTTACGTATTTTGTATCTTCATCTTCTTAAGTTGCGTATTTGAGTAGTGTACCTGGGCAATCACAAGTTTATGAGGAAAAATTAAAACATAAAAGGATTAGTATGGTGGCAAAACATATAAACCCTATGAGAAAGTACTATCACGCAAGAGAGCAAAGTGCATAGAGGTACCTCATACGGTCACAAGCTATAGCTGTACATTAAAGATCTAAATCTAATAATTACAAATGAAATATTTGCTCTAAAAAACTATAAAATCTCATACAATCACTCTAAAAAAACTATAAATGAATAAAAATAAATCTAAATCTAATACATAAATAATAAAATATTTTCACTAGAAACAATAAATAAATGAAATCTACAATAAAAACTATAATAATAAATAAGTCTAAATACAATAAATGAATGAAATCTATAGTAAACAATATATAAAAATAACTACTGAACACTTGCCACATTGTTCATCACTAAAACAACTATAGAACCTCAGTTTCTCTCAGGCTACAGCTGGTCATTAGCGAAATATAATTTCGCCTAGTAAAAAGAGCCATGTACACGTGAATTCCTTTCTCTTGTAAGAACATAAATGATACTTACCACAATGACCAAATCAAAATTACAAGACACTGTGAGTTAAGCCCGCCCTAAGCTTTAGATCATAAGTCTTCCCCGAAGTGAGACAGAAGGACGTATTAATACGACAAAACAAAACAAAAGTTAAAGTTAAAATAAATAAAATAAGAATTTTATTAGGAACTTTTTAAAAGAGAGAAGGAATAAATACTGCGAAGTGGAATGAAAAATATAAGTTTATTGGCAAAAGTGAAGAAAAGGAACGAAAGAGTAAGAGAATAAATGTGCGAGTTTAAAATTTCTGGAGTGGCTTTTTATATAAATTTGTTAGTCAGAATGCAAAAATGATGTCATAATCAAACTAAATTGTGTCATGAAATAAAAGAGATGACTCATAATTAATAGTCTGGTTAATCTGATAATATTTTAGCTGATCAAGGTCCGCTTATAAGATTTTTAGTCGTGCTGTAGGTCACCGCGTGTCAGTATATATATTAAATATATATAAATAACGCCAGGGTGGTTACAAAAAAAAAATTTGTAAATCTTGAGACGCGATTTGTTATTCGCTGATGTCCCATAAATGGTTGGCTTATTTAGGTAATTTTATAAAATAAATAATTATTTAAACACATAGTTCCATATTGAAATAATGTTATCAGGTTTGGCGTTCCAGAATTGTCAAAATTCAAATAAGGATTCATTTACTTTTACGCTTAATAAAGAATTGAGTTTGCATCACTTTAATCATCTTGATTTTCTTATCAATTCTCAATCTTATTATCGTAACTGCTTGATAGCTCTTCAAGGAACTTATCGAAAGAACCTATTACAAGCGCGCCTAATGCTCAAGAACTCGGTGAACCTTCAACTCACTTATCATAAGGTGGTGTGTCTTCCTTTGTAACATGTTCTAATTGCTCTTGATGTCTTACATCTCAACATCTAAAAGTTTATCTCCATCAACCGCACTAATACATCATGATTTGCTATTGCTCACAGTCTTCTATAAGCTTTCTGCTCCGTCTTCTTTGATTTGTAATAACTAGGCATGATAATCTGATGAGCCGTTGAAGATCTATATATATTGTAGCCCGACTTGCATTAAAGTTAATTTCGAATTTTCATTTCCATTGCTTGTGTTAATAATCAAAGAATCGTCTAATTAATAAGTTTCATAACTAAGTTTCATCATCGTCTGTGGTTTAAGTATATTTTATCGGAAATATCAAAAGACTTGTTTTAGGTTAGATTTATATTATAAATAAAATCAACAAAATTTATATTCGTTTTAAATGATATATAAATTTTAAATAAGGGTTTTCATCAAAAAAAAAAAAGAAAATATATTAATTGAACGAGTTACCAACAATTGACTAATTAGACTATACGTTATACGAACTACTGAGAGTAGCTCATCGTAAAAGATTTATAATTAACTATAAATTTCGCAATCAAATAAGTACGGTGAGCTTTTTAAATTTCGATACTATTTTATCAAATAATTCAGATGAAAATTTTACCTTAGATGATATTGACAATATGTTTATAACTGAAATATTATGTTGTCTAATATTCACAATTGGAACGATAATATATATTTAAGAAGTATGTTGTAATTTTATTATTTATCGAAAAAAAAAATTAACGGCATGTTATACTGTAAATATTTACAAGATGATTTAAAATAACATACGTTAATTACGTTATGTTCCAAAATTTCAAATCGAAAAATCATTTAAATAAACATTTATAATAATTCGTTAACAATGTAAGAGGCCCTTATTCCGTATTTTTTATTCCATGTTATTTCTGTAAATGTATCGTATTCACGGAATTTATAGCCTCGAAACATGGAAATTATTCAAGTTGCTTAGATTTTTAGTTATTTTACCATAAATGTATCATATTTACGGAGTTTTTACAGAAATTATGGATAAAATTTTATTTATGAATTACTTGAAATGTATTTTGAAAAATATTTTTCTTTACGTAAAGCCAAGTGATTCGGTCACGTGACCAATGCACGGTATGATAATTTTTTTTTGAAAATCGCATCTCTAATACGAGGGTCCATTTTTTTTTATAAAAACCGATCTCCCACAATTTTTCCAGTAAGCGTGTGGATTCGGTTAAAAATATCCTACCGAAAATCACTTTCGGATAGGCCGATTTGAGTAGTATTTAATCGGCAATATAGCGTCAAAGAAAATCGTTCTTATTCGCGTAAACTCTTATACATAATTGTTATGTGACACCATGGTGGCTTAACAATCGCATGATAATTTCATTGATGTTAAAAATAAAATGGCTCAATTGGGGCATCTGCAGTTTTGTCTTTTTTTATTAATAAAGATACCCACTGATGAATCTAATCAGTAAAAAGCATGATCGTTGCCATAAGTACAAGTTTATATGGAGATATTAAATCTATTGGTGAACTTGGAAACAAAATTTTATTCGTATAATCTAAAAATCTGAAACTAACTTAACTAAGTACTCCTTTTGTACTCCATACGATAAAATTTATTTTATTTTATACAAAGGCAAACGCCAAGACTGATTAAAAAGGAAGTGGCCTTTTCATTTATAATTTATTAATATCATAATAACTCCGAAATTTTTCTAAATATACGTTATAATAAAGAATGCTCACATGTAATATTAAACAGACGATTTTCTTTGTCTTAGGATCTTATTTATTGAGAATTATCGACTATCATGTCATTTATGCTTGTTTGTGTTTTGATTTCATGTGAAAGCATTAATTCTTGGCTGAAACTTAATCAGATAGAGGTTTACTCCATGGAAACAACATTAACTTCGTATCTTTATTGTTTGAGTTTATTATAAGGATCTTGGTTGTACAACTATTTCGTACAACCCGATGATTATACACATGACCCCAAAATATTTCTATTGCTATTTAGGGTAATCCGAATGTTAATGTCCTACATGTACCTTATACTCATATCCGCCATAAAACGCAAAAATTAGTTAATGTTTTTTTAAAAAAAAATTTTAAAGGCTTTTCGTGAATTCACCACTCATTATAGATTAGATTCATCAGTATCATTGACGAGTACCTAATAAGAAGACAAAACTGCAGATAACCCTTTTTTCCTCATCATAATCGCAATTTAGCCATTTTATTGTTTAACATCAATGAATTATCATGCGATCGTAAACCGCTATGGCATCACATGGCATAAAAATTATATATTGAGTTACGTAACTTACGTTTTACGTAAAAAAAATATTTTACGAAATACATTTCAAGTAATTCATAAATCAACAATCGCACTCTTTTTTACATAAAATTAATAGGGAGTAAAAATTTACGCCCATGTTTATTTGTTTTTACGAATATTTTATTAGTGCATTATTTATATAAATAACGAGTCCTCAATCCATATTTTCAATCTTTTTATTTTCTAAATAAACAATTTAATAGAAATTTCAAATTATTAAATTTTATCGAAAAATAAGTACGCTGTAGTTATATTTGTACAGACTTTTTACATTTTCAAAATATTATCGTTTCTTTCGAGAAACTTACTCGTTAAGTTTTTATATATACGATTTCGTAATACAATTTTTTTTAAGTTTTAAATATGAACTCAAATTATTCAAATGATCAATTTTTTTGTTCTGATAATAACCTCTATCCTACAATTGGTTCACGTATGAATATTCCTCATGTGGATGTGCAGAATGCTAACATCCATTTACCAAACCAATATTACGGCAATCCAGGAGTCTCGGTAAATTCTTCTATCGTACAAGACAATTCTGTCATTACTCAACTCGTTCATCCTATTAAATTTATTTATCGGCCATCCAATGACTTTTATATTTATCACATCAAATGTAGAGAAATCTCTATTCAATTATTAAATGATTTTAGTAGTAACGTATCTAACATTAATTTCAATCAAAATGAATATATCTTTTATTATCAACAACAAAGCGATAATAGAATTTATCAAGTGGTCTGCGAAATAATTTCTCCATCTTTTATTGTTAATCTTTTAAATAAAACTATTTATGGAATTGAAATTGAACAAAATATTGGGGAAGAATTGACCTTCAAATTTGATCAAAAGGAAAATCTCAAATTTTATTTAACACAATATTTAAATCGTTTTTTATTAAATTAATTTATACATAGTATTTTAAAATTAAATTATTTTATATTTTTATTATGATTATTTTAGCCCAAACATTAAGTTTAAAAATAGGTAAAAATAAGATTAATACTTTATCGCATTATCTATAAGTTTTTCTTATTTTATATGTATAAGTAGAAATTATTTTATATTATGATTATTAATTTATGGAATAAAAATGTTATGATGATTACTGATGGAATTTTATTATGAAATATCAAAATATAGGATAGTTATTAAGCATTTTATATGCCACTTTAACGTTAAGGACTTAAGGGTCAATTCGGTAGTTTATTTAAGTTTACTCAACGTCCAACTTTATCTAATAAACCAACGTTATTTATGAGATCACACTGTACAGTTTTTACATTTATTAATTGATATATATAATAAATGAATTCCGACTTATCTACATATAAATCATTGCAAATGATTTAATATATACAAAAAACCAAGTCATTAAAATCATTAAATAAACTCATGGATGATTTTATTGTTGATCGTGAGAGTCTATAACTATATATAATAAAACACTTATCGTATAGGCCTTTAAGCTTGCTTTTTTCGATTTCAGCAATTTGAACGGCCAGATTGTGGCACTTACGTAGTATATAAAATATATGAAATACTTTGCCAGAGCTGGTTTCCTACGAAAAAAAAAAGAAAAAATTAAGTAAAATAAAATAATAAAAGTATATCTATTTATTTGGCCATTTTATTTGAATTTTTGATCTTCTCACTTTTATTGCTTGTTGAATTAAAATATTTATTAACAGTCCGTCGCTTTAGATTTCTGTAAAAAAGCATAATTAATGAAATATTATTGTGACTTCAACAAGAAAGGATTTTTGAGGGGGAGCTGAAAAATTTCATTGATAGTCTACAATAGTAGTCATTATTATGAATCATATATTTAAATTGAATAAAAAACGCAAATTACTATGAATTTTATGAATTAAAAGTCCATAATAAATTTTATGAAATGAAATTTTATCTTCTAATAATAAACTATTTTAATTTTTTAATTTGACTATGGCAGATTTACAATTTCGTCGAATTAGACATGAATCACCTCAAATTCGTAGGTAATGATATTTTCATACACATATATCATTCTATTTTTGTATTTATGATTAGTTTATAAAAGAAATCACATACTATAAGTTTTGTAACGCATAATAACTTTTTGTTTAGCCTAATAGCCTACTTTCTTGTAGCATTTTGAAAATGCGATTAATTTCAGCTGGGATTAAACAGAAAATTTGGCTAGAATTAAAGTTTATACCGGACCTTAGAGCTTGGATAGTAATCATAGTAATAGTACTCGTGTAACTCAAGTTAGCTTGAGTCAAACTCGTACTATTTTTTGACTCTCAACTCGGGTGCACGTGATCTGTAATGGCGCCACCATCCTACTTTTTCGCCGAATCTGATCGTACCATATAAATGCAAATTTTTAATTAAAAACTTTTTTTAATTTATATTTTGATATTATGTTTATTTAAATTATGTCTCTTTTTGTTCGATCAAAAGTTATATTCATTAAGAATCATTAATCCGGAATACATTATTCCTAAATTCTAAAAATCCATTTTTTTTTTATTTAAGAACTTTTATTTAAAAAAATATTAGTGTTCAATAGAAAACTTCCTTTACTTCTATCAAAAATATAATCTTCCTAAAACGGAATTCTCCACATTATTTCAATTACTCTTTATCTAATAAAACGAAAAAAAAATATTTATTTAAAAAACCTTTACTATTTCAATCGTTCCCTTTATTATAAAAAATAAATCTTGATAAAGAAAAAATATCATTATACCAAATTATCTCTTTATTAACAAAACAAAATAGAAAACAATCTTTGTTCTATCGATTTTCCGAGTTTAATAATACTCTATTAAAGATGTATGTACATAATTAAATAAAAATACACTCCCTTAATCATAGATTTCGGAATATGTCAAAGATACCACATTAAAAAACTCGTTTTGCTAGTAAAATAAAATCAGAATGTTGTGTTTCTCCACTTTCACTTTCACTTTTCTGAATATATGAACGTGACCAAAGTCACGCGTACATGTGATTTTTAACGATGTTACAATACGGTGACGCAATGAATAAATATTTCTTTGATCTCTTTTAGAAATAAAATAAAATAAATAAATATTTCTCCTTTGATTAGTGACTTCAGAATCTATATCAAAAATTTACATTTGCATACTGTAACACTTTGAATATCCACAGTTTATAAATAAGATTTCACCCTCATATACTATGCCCCTTGGATATTTGGATGTAAAATTTTCAATTTAACTTGGCGTCAAATGAATTGTTACTTTCCTTAAAAGATTTATTGAGCAATTATACAATATATATATGTGTGTATATACGTAAAATATTTTTATTTTGCTTTTCTAACAAGAATGGAATAACTTCCAACATAAATCATTTTTGATGTAAAAAAAAATTGATTTATTGATAATATAATATATTTCCATTATTGATGTCAAATAAAATACACTTTCTATAAACATTTTGATAATTTTAAAGCTAGATATCAAAATCATATTCCTGGGTAATATATTCTGGAAATATGAATTAAGAACGTTAGATTAGAATCTAATATTAAAAATTATTATAATATATAGTTACTTGCCATTATTATTTAAAGAGTTTATATCAATATCTAATTCGATTTCTTTTGTAAAATAATCTAAAGAAAAAATATACGTAAATTTTAATAAATCAAGTTATAAAATTGGTATATTATCAAAAAAAAAAAATTATTACCATCATTTTCATTTTCAAATAATTTTTTTCTTTTAATACTTTGACCTAAATATATTTTGGTTAATAAATATTGACATCCTAAATCTTATTACAAATTACATTGATATCATACCATCATCATTATTATCTTCAAACTTTCATTTGACTTTTTCTAAGTTAATAGATCGACTTCTTAAACTCCTTAAAGACATTGCAGAATTAATCATGGCACTTAAAGGTCTACTCTTATAAATGGCACCAGGATTATTTTTTTGAACAGGTCCAATATCTGATGATTCTATAATTTTAGTTGGACTATTGAGACCTTCTTTCCGATACATTTCACAAATTCTACTATATATATCATCAGCTGTTGGTCTTTTATCCGGATTAGAATCCCAACATTCTATCATTAATTCAGTAAATCCTTCGGGTGCATATGTGACAATTGGTGGTCGTAAACCATCAATTATATCAATAATTAGATATGTATCATGATTTCGATCCCAAAAAGGTCTTCTACCTGTCATAAACTCCCACATAATCATTCCAAAACTATATATATCTGAAGCTTTAGTATATTTTTGTCCTTGAAAAATCTCTGGTGCCATATAAGGAATAATACCATAATTCTCATTATTATCTGTAGATTCAGTTGCTGATTTACTTATTCCCAAATCGCCTATATGTGGATAAATAGGGTTTTCAAAAAAAATATTTCCACTATGCAAATCTCTGTGAATAATATCTAAATTGTGAATATTAATAAGTCCATTTGCGATATTTTTTAAATTGATCAGCTTACTAGCCCAATTAATGTTATAAAAATTATTACTTATATAACGTATTAAATCACCTTTACTATAATATGGCATAATAATCATAAAATCTTGTGTAATTAAGTCTTGAGTAATACCAAAATAATTACTAATATAATTATTTTTGGTCAGATAATGAGATACCTTTTCGCTGTTAAGTCTCCATTTTGTATAATAATTATAAAATATCTTAAGCTAGGACAAAAAAGGCTATGTTATTAATTATCTAGTACGATTTATTGAATCATATTATTTTATGTTACCTCATTTAGCTCCTTAGACGTGATGTTTTTAGAATTATTTAGTTTTTTGAGAACAACTGTAAAACTAAGATTACTAATAGTGTTTTTCCGATAAAAGCCAATTAATCCATCAATCCAAGTTGCTTTATAAATCTTGCTAAATCCTCCCTCAGCAATGAATTCTATATCTTTGAATTCATCATAGGGAACAAATTTCAGTTTTCCTTCTTTTTTGACAAGATTAATTTGTGTATATCTGATGAAATCATCAACAATTTTGTTTCCACTTGGTTTAAATGTTATTTTCATATTGTAGCAAATGCGACAAATCTGGTGACTTTCATCTAAAGGTCTCCTTCTTTTATTACATTCATTACATTTTTCATATATCTTTCTTTTAACTTTTGGTTTAAGAATAGTCTCAGTCTGCTGACTTAGATATGTGTCATTTGAAATTAAAAAGTCAATTTTATATTTATAATTTGTTAATTGGTTCATAATTGTTTAATATCTATTAATTTATTTGTTTATTTTTTTGAATATACTGTATTAAAACTTATGAGAACCGGCTCCTATATATATATACTTTTTTGTAATAAAAATAGGTTATTTATTAAACAATGAATTCTTTACAAAACTAAAAAAATTCTATGTATAATTCCCGATAGAAGTTTCTAATGTTTGAAACAAAATGGATCCTACATTGTTAAAAAAATTGATTTTTTTAATGCTTAATATGACTAAAATTAATTTCTATAAGGCATTTCGATTTTTATTCGTACCCTATAAAAACGAAATGTGTTGAATTTGTTTTATATTTGTGCTCATGTGTAATAAATATCTAAAAAAGCACCATTTTATCCCGATTTATGTCTTATTATAAAAAAACAAAAATTAAATAAAATGGTGCTTTTTTAGACATTTATTACACATGAGCACGAGTTTAAAATAAATTTAACACATTTTGTTTTTATAGGGTACGTTCCATTGCAGAATTCTTAGAACTATCACAACGTGATTTGCATTGTGCAACGCAAAGTTTCACAAATCTACACAATATTAACATATCAAAAAATGAAAAATTGAGCAATAAAATATTAATACTAAGCAAATTCTTCCATAAAATACTTAATCTAAAGGATCTTTAGGGGTCGAATAATTTAAAATTTAGTTAAATAAATAGGAATGTTTATATTTGAGAAAATTTTTATTAAGGACCATATGATTAATGATTTTCAAATTTAAAAATTTTGTGATTTTTTAACCTAGTGATATTTTTGAAATTTGAAAAGGATAAATTGATAAATAATTAAAAATTTTATTACATCCAATTTAGCCTTTTCTTTTAATCAAAAAGGAATTGTAGATGTAATATCTAATGAATAACTAGTAATGTTTTAATCGTCAATTACACTTTACGCCTGAAGATTTTTTTTTTTAAAAAAAAAAAAATTAAACGTATTTTATACATGAAATAAAATAAAGATACATTAAAATTCTAAATATATTTAAAATTCTTTTTTATAACATAAAAATTTTATAATATTTTAGTTGGAGAATTATTCTTATAAATTAATTGCATCAAGTCCTTAATTATTTCTTTTAATTTAATCGATAAAATTTAAGTAGGAATGATAATGCAATTTACTCTATCATCAAAATATTTAATTTCTATCATTTTTTCAAATTATAAAATTTTTTTTTTTCGATTTATAAATTAATTGATTTATGTTCAGTTTATCAAAAATATTATACTGTGAAAAAAAAAAAAAATTCAAATTATTGTTAATATTTGAAAATACTGTAATATAACATAATATTGTTGTACATAAAGAGAGAAAATTGGATTTCTATTTACTAGCACTAATAATATCGATTTTACTTTTTTTAAATACTAACTTTATTCTAAGACAGTATTTTACTGGGATTTTCCCGTATGAATATCGAAAATTTTCAAAGATTTATAGAACAAATGTTACGCCAAAGGAATCGTTAATAGTAAATGGAATATGTTAATGTGGTATTGGAAATACCAATACGTTTTATCCAAAGCGAAGCGAAGGACTATATATGTTTATGAACGTTAATCACATATTTCACATATTGAATCACTTGGCGAAGTCCGTTTGTCCGCACGCGTCAGTCGCGTCACGTCACTGTAATTTGTGCTACATCGATAAACAAAAAAAAATATGAAAATAGATGTTATAATACAAAATTTTATCGCTCCGGACCCATAACGGTTTCCGTTTCCTAGTTTATTTAAATTCGTAGTAATATCAGAATCACTATAATGAAACGAAAAGGAACAAATGAAGAGAGATATTAAATTGATTATGTGATTCTGATGCAGACGGACCATTTTCTAAGTTCTATGAAAATTTTCAGTCATGTGAGTAGTATAAGACTAGTGTAAGCAAATCACATTGTAACTTAATCACGTGTAATAAATTAACCATTGCGCCCATCTTTACTATGCAAGTCGTTAGCTTCTTCACTGTAAAATAAATTAATGAATTGATTTATTAATATATATAAGGTACGGTTGTTATATTTAACCCACAATACTTTCCTATTTTTATTTTAAAAAAAATTTGGATGATTATAAATATTATGTTATTGCAATTAAAGTCAGTAATAATCCTTACACAAAAAATATTCAATTTTCATCAAAGCTTCTTCTTACATTACATTTATTACATTCTTTGCCATTTTTCTATTGAATTTTAAGTTTTTATTCCGCCGGTTCTTATAAAATATATCTCTCATTAAAATTCATTAAAATTTTTTTAAGAAATAAAATAATTCATTCGTTTGTAGTTTCAAGAAATTTTCTAGCATTCAGATATGTGCTGTATATATCAATGTATTTTTTATGGGAAATCTAGGTGCTACATTAGGAGCAAAATAGATTAAATGTAGAATTTGTTTGATAAATGTGAACTTGATCAGTACTTGATTTATATATAAAATGATTTATATGTATATAAATGGTTCCAATCCCATAAGTTATGTGCCATTCTACAATCTTACCGTGTGATTATCTGTTATATCTGAATGTCTTAATCATTTCAACAATAGACTTTGTGAAATAAATTAAATTATTGTTTCTATTATTATTGTTATTACACTATTTATCTCCTACTAGTAATCGAGATCTTTTTTGCTTGACGAAAAAAAATACTAGTATTGTCGAAATTTATAGTAATACAGAAAAATATCATTATGTAAATATAATTTAAATTTAATTACTTTGTAATATATTTTGAAAAAAAGAAAAAATTTCGTATGTAAATCGTCAAATATATGTACTATCTGGAATTTTTCACGTAATATTTAATCTTAAAATATTGAATTAACTGAATTTAACTCTTAGAAATAATCTTTATTGTTCTTATTTTAAAATGATATTAAAATGAATGAAAATTAAAATTTTGTTCTCTATTTGCTTAAGACTTAAGATTAACTTTTTTTAAATTTTCTTTTTATTATATATATAATGTATACTCTCCTAATTGCACGCTCATAAATTCAATAAATTCCAAGTTTGCAACGCCATGTTCTATATAGGAAGCATTCATCATTTAGATTTCTTAAGGAATAATTTACAATTTAATTTAGCGTCAAATGAATTGTTACTTTCCTTAACATCATTTATTAAATGACGATAAATATGTATATGTAAGAATAAAATAAGTTAATTTTGTTTTTCTAACAAAGCGGAACACTCGTTCCAATTAAAGGTTGGAACCGGGATTACAATCCCAGGGTGCGAGTAGTAGAGCGGAAGCTACACTAAACATAAGAGATAAGAATATTACGAAAACAAAGTATTTATTCGACTTCATCATCTTTATGTTATTATTGGGTTTATTAGGTTATAAAAATTTAGGCTTAGTCCGAAAAGTCTTAATCGGTTAACAACCGGTAACCAACCCTTTAACCGATTAATTAACCGGTTAAAACTCAATCCTAGTCAGCATTCAGGATTAGCATCAAATATATTTTTAATCCCGGACAAAATTAGGCCAGAACCAAAACTCTAACTAATCATATCAGTTCGAAACGAAACTCTGGAAATTCAGGCCGAAATTATCTGGCCAGCACTATGAATTTCGGCCCGCATTATGAATTTTATAACACAAAAAATTCCACGTGTGGCTTTCTTACCTTTATCCGCCGAAATCCCGTGATTTATAATTCTGGCCGGCACTGTAAATTTGGCCAGAAGTACAAAATGTTTTCATTTTAACCGCCGCCGGCGGTTACAAATGTCTTAACCGGTTAACCGTTTTAACAATGTAAATCATTTTTCATATAAAAAAAAACTAGACTTTGATAAAAAAAAATTAATTTATTGATAATATAATATATTTCCATTATTGATGATAAATAAAATACACTTTCTATAAACGTTTTAAAATTAGATATCAAAATTATATTCATTGGTAATATATTCTGTAAACATGAATTAAGAAAATTAGGTTAGAATTTAATATTAAAAAATTATTATAGTATATAATTATTTACCATTATTATTTAAAGGTTTTATATCAATATCTAATTCGATTTCGTTTGTAAAATAATCTAAAGAAAAAATATACGTAAATTTTTAATAAATCAAGTTATGAAATTGGTATATTATCACAAAAAAAAAAAAAAAAAAAAATTATTACCATTATTTTCATTTTCAAATAATTTTTTTCTTTTAATACTTTGACCTAAATAAATTTTAGTTAAATAAATATTGACATCCTAAAATCTTTAGTATTATAAATTACATTGATATCATACCTTCATCATTATTATCTTCAAAATTTCTTTTGACTTTTTCTAAGTTAACAGATTGACTTCTTAAACTTCTTAAAGACATTGCAGAATTAATCATGCCACTTAAAGGCCTACTCTTATAAATAGCACCTAAGTGATTAGTTGTTACAGGTCCAATATCTGATGATTCTATAATTTCAGTTGGATTATTATATTCATAGAAACTTTTCCGTTCATTTTCATACATTTCACCAATTCTAATATATATATCATCGGCTGTTGGTCTTTTATCCGGATTAGAATCCCAACATTCTTTCATTAATTCAATAAATCCTTCGGGTGCATTTGTGACAATTGGTGGTCGTAAACCATCACTTATTTCAATAATTAGATATATATCATGATTTCGATCCCAAAAAGGTCTTCTACCTGTCATAAACTCCCACATAATCATTCCAAAACTATATATATCTGAATCTTTAATATATTTTTTTCCTTGAAAAATCTCTGGTGCCATATAAGGAATAATACCATAATTCTCATTGTTATCTGTCGATTCAGTTGCAGATTTACTTATTCCTAGATCACCTATATATGCACAAGAATCAAAAAAAATATTTCCACTATGCAAATCTCTGTGAATAATATCTAATCTGTGTATATTAACAAGTCCAATTGCGATTGTTACTAAATTACTCAGCTTATCAAACCATTTAATGTTATAAAAATTATTACTTATATAACGTATTAAATCACCTTTACTATAATATGGCATAATAATCATAAAATCTTGTGTCTTTAAGTCTTGAGTAATACCAAAATATTCACTAATATAATTATGCCGAGTTTTATAAGTGTCTTGAGATATCTTATCTCTTTTATACTTAACCCGATATTTTTCAAACTGTGTTTTCCATTTTGTATAATAATTATAAAAAATCTTAAGCTAGAACAAAAAAGGTTATGTTATTAATTATCTACAATTTATTAAACCAAATTATTTTAAAATATTGTACTATTTTACCTCATTTAGCTCCTTAGACGTGATATTTTTAGAATTATTTAGTTTTTTGAGAACAACTGTACGATTAAACCAAGTTGCTTTATATATTTTGCTAAATCCTCCCTCAGCAATAAATTCTATATTTTTGAATTGATTATAGGGAACAAACTTCAATTTTCCTTCACTTCTGGCAAGATTAACTTGTGTATATCTAATGAAATCATCAATAATTTTGTTTCCACTCGGTATAAATCTTTTCTTCATTTTGTAACAAACGTGACAAATCTGGTGACTTTTGTCTAAAGGTTTCCTTCTTTTATTGCATTCATTGCATTCAATTTTTACGCACTTTGATTTGACTATGGTTTGCGTTGATTGAAATGAAGATGTGTCATTTGATATCAAAAAATCAATTTTATATTTATAATTTGTTAATTGGTTCATAATTATTTATCTATAATGTGTTTGTTTACTTTTGAATATATTAAAAGAAGCGGCTTCTATATATATACATTTTTGTAGTAAAAATGGTTTATTATTGAATAATGAATTCTTTACAAAATTAAAAAAATTCTATGTATAATTCCCGAATAGTAGAAGATTCTAATGTTTGAAACAAAATGGATCCTACATTGTTTAATTAATTGATTTTTTTAATGCTTAATATGACTAAATCGATTTTATTTGTAATACATATCTGAAATTTCAATGACCGATGCTATTTTATAATTCTGGCCAAATTTTTAGTGCCGGCCAGAATCATATTTCACGTGACATCGGACAAAAGTTTAGCCACTCGATTTGATGAAATTTTGTTTACATTAATGTTATACAAATTTATAATGGCGACTTTCAAGTTTCAACTAGAGTTTCATTTTGGAATAATCCGAAATTGCCGAGTTTTGGAAACATGTATAATTTGTACTGTACGTTCCATCGCAGAATTCTTAGAATTTTCACAATATGACTTACATTGTGCAACTCACAATATTAACGATCTTTACGAGAAAAATATAATTAAGCAATAAAATATTGATACTTAGCAAATTCTTTCATAAAGTAAGAAAACACTTAATCAAAGGTTCTTTGGAGGTCGAATAATTTAGAATTTAGTAAATAAACAGAGATATTTAATAGAGATTTTTATTAAAATATTTTAAAAGACCATATCAATTAATTTCAAAATTTGAAAATTTTTATTAAAGTCTAGAAAAAGAAAATTTAGTGATTTAATCTAGTAATATTTTTTGAAATTTAAAAAAGGAATAATTTTTTCAAAACTAATTGATAAATTGATAAAATGATTAAAAATTTTGTTACATCAAATGTAGCTTTGTCTTTTAATCAAAAAGGAATTGTAGATGAGTAATATCTAATGAACAACTAGTAATTTTTTAATCGTCAATTACTTTTTTTTAAAAAAATAAAACGTACAGTATTTTATACATGAAATAAAATAAAGATATATTAAAATTCTAAATATATTTAAAATTCTCTTTTATAACATAATATTTCAGGTAAAAAATTATTCTTATAAATTAATGCGTCAAGTTTCATTATTTTTCTTTTTTATTTAATCGATAAAATTCAAGGAGTAATGATAATATAAATTATTTTATCAAAATTACTTAATTTCTAATATTTTTTAAAATTAAAAAAAAAAAATTATTTTGGTTTATAAATTAATTGGTTTATGCCGTGCAAAAAAAACCAAAAAAAAAAAATTAAAATTGTTGTCATTATACATTTATACTTTGTGTACATAACACTTCGGTAAACAAATATATTTTCGACGTTCCCGTATGAATGTAGAAAATTTTCAAAATTTTAAAGAGTAAATTGTACAGTATGTTATTGCGATCACCGAACGCTCTTATAGTTTGAGTAAAATAGTAGTTATCAAATATTAGCCGATTTACAAGATGATTTACCCAAATTGACATGATGCGCTGTCTTTATATAAATTTCAATAACGGACTATATAAAACGTTGTCTAAATGATTAGTTTAGTCGTTGCGTAAAAATTTTATAAAATAAATAATCTATATTCAATTATTGATTGATAAATTCCGGAAAAATTCGGCGGAAATCACATTAAATCATTAAATCATTTAAAAAAGTTTAATACTATATCTGGTAATATCTATTGTATTGTTTATTTGATCAAATGACCCCATTTTAAGTTATTCCGTAGGAATTTTTAAAAAAGCATGTGCAAGCATGCGTTTTTTATGATCTGTATCACATAAATATTTAAGATGATTACTAATAACTAACTTTTACAGGCATATGTTAAATGTTAAACAAACATCCAACCTAAATATAAAGAAAATATTCCTTTTTTGTTAAAATTAACTCACAATTTCCGCCCTTTTACTAATTTAACCGGTAATATACCGTACAACGCGCTTATTTTCGTTCGGCGAGATAACCACGTGATAAAACCACCATCAAGACTCGACTATGAAACGTAATGTTTGTCGCTTTGCAGTTATTCGTGTATTTTATTTTTTATTATACAAAACTTAGGAAATATTTAATTTTGACTTGGTTATTTTATTAACATTTTTTTATAATTTTTAATTTTTATAATTTTTTATAATTTTTCTTTTTCTATTTTTTTTTTTTAAAAAAAAAGGTATACGAAAATAAATATATTGAAAATAAAAATAGATTTAAAAAATATTTAAACTTTTTCTTTTATAGTAACTTATTTTCTTTTATAATTTGAAATACTTCATATTCTTCTATGGAAAATCTATCCCCTGATTCTCTTATTGGAACTTCATAAGAAGATTTTTTACAATAATTATCATCATAATAATTTAAACCTGATAATGTAAGATCACCATCACCAAATGAAGGACCATGAATAAACCAATTATTTATAGCTTGCTTTTCATTTTTTACTCGACTTAAAATATGATTATCAATATTATCTTTATCCTTAAAAGAAAATATGAAATTATCTTTAGCGATATCTAACATTGAATCAGAATCCCAAGTAATTTGATTATACCCTCCAAGAATTTCATTATGATATTTCACTTTAATAATTGATACTGTATGAGGTAAACAATCACAAATCTCATGAAATTTTTTAGGTGAAAATCCATCACGAGATCCACGTATTAATAATTTAAAATCGTAAGTATTATTTGTTATTAACTTATCCGTAATATCATATCTATCTATCCAACTTGATATTAATTCTGCATGTTGTGATGTGATTATTTTTGAATCAATACTTTTAATATTCTTTGAATTGATTTCTTTTGGTATATAAGATTTTGTTCCTTCACTTTTATTATTATTATTATTACTATTATTGGGATCTAAATAATATTTAATTAAATTTTTATGTAATTCTTTTGGTAAAACTTTCTTATAAGGTAATACTTTAACCAAGAATTCTTTAGAACTTAAATTATAGAATTTAATGAAAGGAATGAATTTCTCCAAGGTATCTCTTAAAATGTTAAAATCTTCTTTTGAAAACTTTGTAGGATCTGAAGGAAGTTCGGGATTTTGTGCAAGTCCCCATTTAAGAACATGATCCCAAACTTCAATTTCGTTCATTGTAAGATTATCATTTTGAATTAAATTGATTAATAATTTTTCAGGAATTGAAAAGAAATTTGGTGTATGAAATATCTTATCTGGATCTTTAGATATTGAATCTGTACAATATCTTTGTAATTCCAAGAAAGTTTCGTTCTTAAAACTTGTTTGATATACGAGATTAAAATTTTTTTCAACCCATGTTGATTTTTTTTTAATTAAATAAGATTGTATATAAGTGATTAATTCTCTAAGACTAAGTTCACCGGCAGCGACCAAGATTCTAACGACATCTGTAGTATCAAATTTTTCCAAAGATATTTTTCCACCATAAATATACCTAAAATAAAATAATTTAACGGTTAAAAATTTTTAATTAAATTAATTTTTAAAATTTCTTTATTTTTTTTTTTTATTTACCCCAAAATTATTTCAAAAATATTAGGTGAAATATTCGGTAATTTAATATGTACTAAACTTTCATCATTCTCCTTTTTATTGGTTGACAAGATTCTTCGGAGATAAGGGGATCGATAACTTAATATGACCATATGAGCACGAAAGATTTTTATATAGGGGTCATTTCCAACTTCGATAATAATATCGTTATATTGATCATCATCTAAAATTTCAAGTAAATTTTGTGATAATTTTAATAAAAATTTATTTTCTACCATTATTGTAATCAAAACAAGTTTTATCGTTGTTATTATTTATTTATTTATTTATTTTTTAAAAAAAAAGAAAAGAAAAATTAAAAAATAAAATTTCCGAAAAAAAAAAATTTTTAAATGTTTCGACTTTATATAAATAAACAGGTAAATGGGAAATCAGCTGAACAAGTTTATGTATTACAAATTTTTTTTTTTTGAACCAATGTAATTTGTTTGTACATCTTTTAAACAAACACCGGTTTTTCGGAAGATTAACGAAAATTTTTGCGCAGCATAAAATTTTTTGATAACCTAATTATGGTAATGAAATAATGAATTTTAATTTATTCAAAAAGAGTAACTTTCGAAAGTAATAAATGATAGTGACACAAATATTAACGCATTCTTTACTCCGGAATAAAATTTTCATTTGTTTCAAGTATTTATGACGTTACTTTACTTATTTATTTGTTTGTCGTACAACATAATTATTCTTTCTCTCCCCCTATTAATTATATTTGTTCACGGAGTCCTATATTAGGAGAGAAAATAGATTAAATGCAGAATTTGTTTGATAAATGTGAACTTGATTTATGTATAAAAAAGGTTCCAGACCCATAATTTATGCGCTATGATCCTATAACGTAAATAAAAGTTTTAACTTAATGAATAATTTTAATCATTTTAAGTAAATTATTATCTGAATGTCTTAATCATTTTGACTCATGATAATAAATCATTATAATACTATTAATTATTATTTTTATTTTCATTACATTGTTTAATCTTCTAATTGAGCATTATCTTTTTTTGCTCGACGAAAATAATAAATATATAACGTTATTATTTAGTATTGCCGAAATTTATGGTAATTCAGAAAAAATAAATTATGTAATTGTAATTTAATTACTTACGTTACGTTTTAAAAAAAGAAAAAAATTTCGTATGTAAATCATCAAATATATGATGTACAGTATCTGGAATTTATGATTCTTCGGGATGAATTTAATCTTAAAAAATCGAATTAGCCAAATTTAACCTTAGAAATAATCATATTAAAATGAATGAAATTTAAAACTTCGTCTCGACTTATTTTAATTCTTTATAAATTTCCTTTTATATAACATATCAGATATGTTGTAGGTGGAAACGGAATTCCGAATCCACATATGTGGATACGGGATGTTGGCCAGAATTAAAGCATAGTGCCGGACTAGGATTTCGTAATGCTGGCCAAGATCCGATTTCCACCGATATTCAGAAACCACATACAACATATATCTATATACTATCTGATTGCACGCTCAGGTCAATAAGTTTCAAGTTTGTAGCATCCCTAAATGTAGGAAGTATTCAAAAGATAATTTAGATTCGTAAGGAATAATAATTTACAATTTAATAATTTTAATTTAGCGTCAAATGAATCTTTACTTTCCAAAACAACATTTATTAAATGACGATAATAAATTTATATATAAATATGAAATACTTTTTTATTTTGTTTTCCCGTCAAGGCGAATACTTGGATGAGTAACTTCCAATGCAAATCGTTTTTCATATAAAAAAAAAATTTGATTATATATATTACCATTATTGATGATAAATAATATACACTTTCCATAAACTTTTTGATAATTTTAGATATCAAAACCATATTCCTTGGTAATATATTCTGTAAACATGAATTAAGAAAATTAAGTTAGAATTTAATATTAAAAATTATTATAGTATATAATTATTTACCATGATTATTTTTTAAAGATTCTATATCAATATCTAATTCGATTTCTTTTGTAAAAAATTTAAGTAAATTTTATTTAATCAAGTTTTGAAATTTGATATATTGTAAAAAAAAAAAAAATTATTACCATTATTTTTATTTTCGAATAATTTTTTTCTTTTAATACTTTGACCTAAATAAATTTTAGTTGATAAATTTGATATCCTAAAATCTTTAGTATTATAAATTACATTGATATCATACCATCATCATTATTATCTTCAAACTTTCTTTTGACTTTTTCTAAGTTAATTAAAGACATTGCAGAATTAATCATGCCATTTAAAGGTCTACTCTTATAAATAGCACCTAAATGAATAGTTGTTACAGGTCCAATGTCTGATGATTCTATAATTTTAGTTGGATTATTGAGACCTTCCTTCCAATACATTTTATCAATTCTACTATATATATCATTGGCTGTTGGTCTTTTATTCGGATTAGAATCCCAACATTCTTTCATTAGTAATTCAATATACCCTTCGGGAGCATTTGTCACAATTGGTGGTCTTAATTCATCAAAGATTTCAATAATTAGCTTTGTATCATGATTTCGATCCCAAAAAGGTCTTCTACCTGTCATAAACTCCCACATAATCATTCCAAAACTATATATATCTGAAGCTTTAGTATATTTTTGTCCTCGAAAAATCTCCGGTGCCATATAAGGAATAATACCATAATTCTCATTATTATTTATAGATTCAGTTGCAGATTTACTTATTCCCAGATCACCTATATATGCATTATAAATATCTTCAAAAAAGATATTTCCACTGTGTAAATCTCTGTGAATAATTTCTAAACTATGGATATTAAAAAGTCCATTTGCGATTTGTTTTAAATTACCCAGCTTTTCAATCCAATTAATTTTATAAAAATCATTACTTATATAACATATTAAGTCACCTTCTCTATAATATGGCATAATAATCATAAAATCTTGTGTATTTAAGTCTTGAGTAATACCAAAATAATTACTAATATAACTATAGTCCTGAGTTTCTTGGTAAGATATCTTTTTGCTTCTACGCTTAGCCCAATTATTATCAAACTGTGTTTTCCATTTTGTATAATAATTATAAAATATCTTAAGCTAGGACAAAAAAGACTATGTTATTAATTATCTACAATTTATTAAACCAAATTATTTTAAAATATCATTGTATGTTACCTCATTTAGCTCCTTAGACGTGATATTTTTAGAATTATTTAGTTTTTTGAGAACAACTGTATAGTTAGGTTGATGAAACATGTTTTTCCGATTAACACACAAATCAATTGGGCCATTAATCCAAGTTGCTTTGTAAATTTTACTAAATCCTCCCTCAGCAATAAATTCAATATTTTTGAATTGATCATAGGGAACAAACTCCATTTTTCCTTCCACTTTGATAAGATTAACTTGTGTATATTTGATAAAATTGTCAATAATTTTGTTTCCACTCGGTTTAAATAATTTCTTCATTTTATAACAAACGTGACAAATCTGGTGACTTTTGTCTAAAGGTTTCCTTCTTTTATTACATTCTTTACATTTCTCTTTTTTATACTTTGAATTAACTACTATGGTCTGCGTTGACTGAAATGAAGATGTATCATTTGATATCAAAAAGTCAATTTTATATTTATAATTTGTTAATTGGTTCATAATTATTTTGTTTATTTTTATTGAATATATTATTAAAAATAAACAGCTTTTACATGTATATCTGATATATATACTTTTTTGTAATAAATAGTTTATTTGTTAAACAATCAGTGAATTCTTTTATTGCGGCTAAAAAAATTCTATGTATTAATTCCCGATAGAAGTTTCTAATGTTTGAAAACAATATAAATCTTGCATTATTATGAAATTGCTTTTTTTAATGCTTAATATGGTTAAAATTAATTTCTATCAGACGTTTCGATTTTTATTGTACGTTCCGATCGTTCTGTTGCAGAATTCTTGGGACTATCACAATGAAACTTGCATTGTGCAACGTTAAAGTTTCACAAACCTACACAATATTAACTGTCTTGAATACGAAAAAAAATCAATAAAAATATTGATACTATATAAATTCTTCAAGAAATACTTAATCCAAAGATTCTTTGGAGGTCGAATAATTTAGAATTTAATAAATAAACAGAGATGTTTTATTATATATATATATATATATATATATTGAGGAAAATCCCTATTTAAGATCATATATGATTAATGATTTTCAAATTTGAAGATTTTTATTGAAAATCTGGAAGAAAATTTAGTAATTTAATTTGATAATATTTTATGAGCTTTGTAAAGCAGGCAAAATACGCATACTATATGGTCTTTAAAAGTGTTACAATAGGTAAATAAAGGTTTGCACCAAAAATGTAAAAAAAAAATCGAAAACAATAGAGAATTAGAAAATTTGGCAAATATCGCCAAAACGGGGAGCGACAACGAGTATGATTTTATTAAATTATTAGGGAGTATTATAAAAAGTCTGTTGAGCGTATTAGTGCAATGATGATGTGTATACATTACGGATTAACGGAGTTACGCCTGAAGGATAAAACAAGATAGCTTTAGCGAGCAAGGAAATAAACATATGATAGAAGTAAAAAAGCCAGTCTGTGTAACCCTTATACTGCAAAATATGTATTTTGGCAAATCAACTAACAATTCAGCAAGTTTTTCTGTATAAATTATAACAAAGTTTATATACTTCTTTCGCTAAATGTAATTATCTTTATATGTAATTACAAATTTTCAAATAAAAACAAAGATTAATTGCAAATTACATTTACTTTTATGTGTAATATAAGCATTATGTGGGGAAAATCAGATCTCAGTTCTTCCAAATTTGTAAAAAATAATTTGAAGTATATTCGCACTATATTAGAAATTGTATAGATTAGTTTAATTATTTTTAATGGTTCCTTTCTATTTAATAAAGTAAGCTTTACCTATACTTACGCGTGTTTAAAATTGAATGTACATTATCAACTTATCAACCTTGTTTATCACAGTCTTTCTCAGTAAGATTATTAAGGCGGCCTTTAATGAAATGGACCTCTTTAATTAGTTCAATGTTTTGATTTACAATATGATCTAGTTTCTAGATTTGAATGAAAATACTAAATTAGTGGTTTTACACTTATGAGATAATGATAATTAAAACTTCTTTTACCTACTGAATTGATTGGGACTAACGATCTGTCGATCGAACTATTAACGAGTTTCCAGTTGCCGAGCACAGCAGCTCCGCCAAATGTAACGAGACCAGCGCTATTGCAAAAGGTTTTAAGTTTGTCAGAAGATAAAAATTCATGAGCCTTAGATGTAACTAATTTTTATATAGTAAAATTATGTTATTTATGTCCTTAACAAACTTACTAAAACATATTTTATTATTATTCTTACCATTATTATTATTGGAATATCTCCTGATGACAGTTTTCAACAAATTTACAAGTCTAAACATTATGTAATATTTATAAAATTTAAAAGATAGCTAAATATTATTTTGAAATTTACGTAAAATAAAGGTTCTAAATTTTTTTTTTTAAAAAAAATAGTTATATATATACCTATTTAGATAGACTCTTTGATGATGTGATGATGTAATCATTTTCCCCATGTACTGATAAATTACCTCATTTCATTCATTTGACTTATTTGACTAATATGGCTTGGTGCGATGATCTACTTCGGAAAAAATAAATCACAGTAATGTGATGTAAGATTTACTTTAAGCCATCGTCCTATTTTCTCCGAGCATCAAAATTATTTCAGCTATATATAATATGGACTCGTTTTAAAAAGAAACCAACCTATCGCAGTTTGAAAGAAGGGACGAGACACTTCTCAATTAAGGTATGAATGAATATACTTTTTTCGATCGTAGTTGTGCACGCTAGATGGCCTTCCTTATCAGAAATCAACTGCGGATTACAGAATTTATAGTCATTGTCGGAACGTGATGAAATAAGCTAATTGTGACCCCTAGGTCACGAACTCATAGTTGGACAACTTTTCTACTGCGTAATAATTTCTGATATTTTATGATTCGAGCTCTGCTCCTATAGGAAATACTCTCTACGAAAGAACCAGTATGTATCATCCCATTATTTTTTCACACTCTTTCGTTAGTTTGGAAATGCCTGGCGAAAAAAATTCTGAAATTGTCTATTGAATAGATTAGTTAGTAATTTTATAAGTCTTTAGAGGAGCGTACTAGGGGCTTTAACTATTACGTGAATGTTTTCTTCAGGAATTCCTTCGGGGTTCGTCCAATATTTTACGGTTTATACATTGCAATTAATTCGTCTTCGCTCGAAGAGAAATTCCCTCCATTGAGTCATTTCTATGTATCAGGGTATTTACTTTCCGTAATTTAAGGTAGCTTGGTCCAAAATGAAAGTCATGATCTTTTTCTTTTTTTTATTAATCGTTTTAGTTCACTTAACGTTTCGTCTGTGTTGATTTTAATTGAGAAAATATTGTCAACGTTTGGAGTTTTCCGTATTTCTGAACATTAGTAAACCCATCGTGGTCCAACCATATAAACATGAATTCAATAACACGTGCACACGGGCACAATAACATCATTAATTTCGTTATTCCACGTTGATTTTGCCAATATTTAGTGTTAGTAAAAAAACTCGATCACTTAACTTCCAATCTAGTCTAGGCATTCAGGAAGGTTTGACCAGAGCTCACTAGTTCTGGTATCACCAAAGGGGAATCCAAGAAATTTGAATTTATAGATAATGCATTATAGCAGTATTATAGCTTGCAATAATGACTACTAGTAATAAATTGCAAGTATTTATGTAAGACAAATTTTCTTATTAATTAATCCTCTTTTTTGTATATACCACTCTTAGACTAGGTTATAGTGCCACTCTATAATCTACTGTACTCCAGCTATTTTATTAAGTCATTGCCATGTGACACTCTGAATAATGTTTAGAGTATCACGTGTTATTCGCAGGACTATTTAATTGTTTTCTGCTTTTTTAGAAACATTAAATTACTGTGGATTATCAACAAAGTGAACTATATCCTCGACTAAGACTAGTCAAATATTCGATGATATTGATAGCTGTTAATGATGATATAATTATATTGTATTTTTGTTGTCGCTCATTACCCTCTTCATCATTTACGAAAAATAGTGTTGTTAATAACCATCAAAATCTATACGTAAAATAAAATAATAATATATCCTAAATTATTGAACTAATCCTAATCATTACATCATAATTACATAATTATTAATCAAGGGGTTGATGTAATCTACACGAAAATGCTGGATCGGTGAATCCTATTGTTGTCAACTGGGTTGTAAATATTATTTCGATTTGAAGTTTCGATTTAATTAAAAATTTTGATTTATTTGATTTATTTCAATTTCTGTCAGAATTAAGGTTCAATTCAGTGGAATTAAGTGTTTATTTCTGTCTTGTAATCGATAAAATTCAAGGAGGAACGATAACTCATAATATAAATTATCGTCAAAATATTTAATTTTCTGATATTCTTCAAAATTCTAAAAAATTAATTGGTTTATGTTTAATTTATAAAAATATTTATGCCGTACAAAAAACAAAAAAATTCAGATTGTTATTATACTTAATGATCGAAAATCGAAAATACATTGTTTACGTAATATTTAATACTGTATTGTCATAAAGAGGGAAAATTGGATTCCAACATTAAATACTGTAATATCGATTTTTAATTTTTCATACTTTTTTTTAAATACAAACTCTACTTTAGAAATACTAATAATACCATTATTTTAAATTATACAAAATTTAAATTTATACATATAATTCAAATACCTTTCGTTAAATTGTCCTTCCCTTAAACTATTTTTTGCTTTATAGAAATTCTTCAGAAATCATCAAAACTAGAACTTAGCTTTTCTTTCAATTGCTTTGGTAAGTTTTGGCTTATATACCAAATGCAATGTACGTGGAAAGACTGAAAAGTGTTTGGAAATTGTATTGTTACTGCGGCATTAACCGCAGGATCACCATCAGTTACAAAACCTTTGGTGACACCACCAGTTGCTTCTTTTACACATTAAAAAACCCATTCATAGGAAGTTGTGTTTCATCATCAACAATTGCTTGTGCTACAATTCGTGTCTTTAAATTATTGTCTGAAGTAACAAAGAGAGATAATGGGTGATTATACAGGTTGGTTTTTGTAAGTATTATCATGCATTATCACGTCATGATACAAAATCTGTTGCCCGGGACTCATCCAAAAAAAGATGGGTTAATGAAGGATCAAATTTCATTGAAATTATCCATCATGGATCCTCAGGTTTTTATCATTTTAAAAGCCTTTTTAATAACATTCTTGCATCATCTTCACCTGGTATTGATTTACTGATGGCATCATAAAGATTCGGTCAGTATATTCTCGTCTTAAATTTTTCTCGAATAATCCGATATTGTTGTATTTACTTTAGCAATAACCGACAGTTAGAAACCGAATTTCTTCAAGGAACTCTTCTGATAATTTTCGTAATGTTGGAACAAATTGACTTGCTGATGGATGACATTCATGTCCGATATGTTGGTCATTGAATTTTGTGACTTCAAGATAACCCTTGCTCTTTTTAACCCATATATTAACTTTCCATGGACATTCTACTCAACAAGATGATACACTTGTTACTACATGAAATGTTTTATCGACGTAAAGCTTTGAGGTGTCACTCTTGTCGGTATTTTCTACTTCTATTATGTTTTCGTTGCATACGTCATCGGATATACTGTCATGTGATCATCATGTGCCACTCCGAAATTGATCGATGTTGCAAATGTTTAACATGATTAATATGCCGAACATGATTAACATGTCGAACCTAATTAACATGTTGGTTATGATCAACGTATTGAACATGTTAGTCATATTATACATAGTAGATATGTTAAATTTATTAGTATATGTATAATTTATTATAAATATAGGTCAATTTTCTTGTAGTAAAGTAAGGGAATAAATAAAGTTTTATTTTAAAGTTATAAATTGATAAGTTTTTATCAAGTGAAATCCTTTATTCGTGTTTGGAAGTATATGCCGACGTACAGCGCTATACAACACGTCTGATCGGATAATTTTGATATATTGTTTAATACATTGTCTAATTATAACACTAATAAACCTTCTGCTACCTAACCACATAAATTGCTTAATATTTTTAAGCGTAAAGAACTGATACAACAATACTATTCAAGAAAAAAAAATCCCACAGGTCTTATTTTTTTCATTAAGACAATTTTATGAAAAAGGCAAATTTATTAGTTATTACTCGCCTGTTAGTATCAGAAAAATCATCTCCAATAAAGTCTCGAACTCTGCATTTTGAATGGTTTCTTTCATATTTTGGTATAAATCGTAGTATTTTGTAGGGTGCTTAATTGTATTTATTTAATGAAAATAAAACAAAAGGAATGATTCGAAAACTGGGATACACTATATTATATATAACGTTGAGCTCTATGGAAAAAAAAAGCTTTCGCCAAGAAACTAGTGTATTATGAAATGTATGACAATCTTGTAATACGTATACGTATGATAATTGCGTGATAAAATGTATGATAAGACGTGATATTTACAAACTGTCACTTATTACAAGTAATAGTATATCGTAGAGCACTGACTAAACTACCCCAAATTTTGTAAGAAAGCCGGGTATTTTATATAGTTAATTTTTTTTTGAACTGGAAAATAGCCAATTTTACTTGTATTTATTGTATTTATCAAAATTTTATATTTATTTGTTTATAAATGAATTTTTTTTATTTAGATTTTTATATCTTTATCATTACAACCATTAAATTCATCCCAAACCAAAAAAAATCAATACATAATACCCCCTACCCGGGTATTTTGCAAATTTGGGAGTGGATTTGTTGATATTTACAAATTTAAGAATTTATTACGCGTGATACACTTTGTATTACATCAATTTTACTATCGCAAACTACATTTTGCCAAAATTTATCTTGTAAAAATCTTCATTGTACGAAAATCAGATTCGTTTTAATGCATATAAAGGATTATTTTGTTTATGCGAGTTATTCAGTATGAAAAGAACTTTTTCATATGTTAAAATCGGTACCATACTGAAGATTTGTTGTATTGTGAAATTCATTATATCAAAATTCGGCTATAAAAAGAGTTGACTATTTACATTTTACTGTTTCCTGTATCATTAAAACTTCCTTTATTTAATATACTTTAAATGATTTTCACTAAACTATTTTATTTGATGAGTTAATAAATTGTAATTTTAGAACAGCAGTTATACCAACTTAGCTTTTATTTTAATTAAAACTTAGATCGGTTTATAATATGTATTAATTTATAACAAAGATAAAAAAAAATATAAAACTAACTCCCCAACTTACATGCCAAAGACTATAGCAAGTAGCGAATTCAACCCTTTTATGTTCTTCATAAATGTTTTTCAAAGAGTAAGAATGATTGAGAAGTAAATTCAATGACTATCAATTTGAAATACTTCACATTCTTTTACATCGAAATGAATTTCACTTATTTGAAGATTATCATTTTGAATAATTGAGATCAAAAGTTTTTCTGGAAATTGAAGAGAAATTTGGTGATTTGAATATCTTAATTGGCTCTTTAGATATTAAACTAATACAATATTTTTGAAGTTCTGAGAATGAATCATTTTCAAACTTATTTGATAAACGAAATTAAAATTATTCTCCATACAGTTTTCTTTGTTTTTGATCAAAAAAAATTGTAAATATAAAACTAATTCATGAAGACTAAGTTCACTAGCGGCAACTAGGACCTTAATTACATCCGAATTATCATAATCAATTAAAGAGAGTTTCCACCATAAATATACCTAAAATAAAAAAATTATACATTATTAATAAATCAATAAAAAGAATAACCTGAATATCATTTGTTTACCTTAAAATTATTTGATGAAATATTTGATAATTTGATATGTGCCAAAGTTCCATCATTTTTCTTTTCATTAGTTGACAAAATTCTACGCAAGTAAGGAGATCGATAATGTAAAAATAACCATACCAATTTCAATAATAATATCATAATATTATTCATCATTTAATATTTCAAGTAAATTTTGTGATAATTTTGGTAAAGTTTCATTATCCTCCATGTTTTATAATTTTGGCGTTAAAAGAAGGAAAGAAAAAGAATTAATTCAAATTTGTAAATGTTCGGCCTTATAATTTGTATTTGTACGACATTATTTTTAAATAATGTAGCTATGATTTGACGTTTGAGTGAATCGATTATTGCCGTTTTCAGAAATGTTGACAATCTGAAATTTTGACCATTTTATACCGAACACACCGAACACACCGAACACACCGAACACACCGTGAACACATACAAAAAATTATGCAAACTTGAAGTATTCATGCATAACTTTATATAAAAACTATTTTTGTCACTTTTTAGATATGAATAAAATTGAAAATATGAAAATTTGTACCGAACACACACCGAACACAAACGAACACACCAAACACACCGAACATTGGCAAATACAAGCAAATACAAGTGAATACATATATGCAAATAATATAATTTTTATACATTTTTTTATGCACACTACCTAAAAATATATTACTAAAGTTTTAATTTTGCTTTTTTTAAAGGAAAATTTGTTTTTTTTTTAATTTTAATTGCTGTGTTCGGTGTGTGTTCGGTGTGTTCGATTTATAGAAATGATCGACATTCTAATGTCAACATTTCTGAAAACGGCAATAAATGTTATTATTAGAATTTGTTCATTTCATATATTATTATTCTTTTGATACTCATTTTACTCGAATAAATCATTAATTTAACTAAACCATTTGAATTAAAATCTTTATTCAAAAATCTGGTATGGATTTGGTTATAATAGTCTATTATTAAATCAACAATTTCTTTAATTATAATAATTAATTATAAAATATTGTAAAAATATCAATTTTTTTTGATTTTTATGAATTTGAAAATCAAACTATTTATCCAGCGTTCAATTTAATTGAAAAAAAAAAATCTTAATTATCTTTCTATCAACGTCAGTCAATTTTCCTACATGTTATATTGATTTTTTTTAAAAAAATAATAATTTTGTAAATATATTTAATATAATATTTTATTTCTTTATTTAATGATAAAAAAAAAATTGAAAGAAAAAAGAAAAAAATTAAAAAAAAAATTTGAGGGAAAGAAAAAGGATATAGA